CTCGTCGTACAGGTATGGGGCTGGGGACGGGGAGCGCATCGCGTCCAGACCCGGTGGGCGGAGGAAACCGAGGCCCGGGAGCCAGGAGGACACGGGTGGGTGGGGGCGAGGGGGCGCCTGGAACCCCCATCCCACACGACTTCGAGAGCGGCGGGCGGCCTCGAAGATCATTCCCTTTGGCCCCTGGGCGCGGCAGGGGTCTCTTCGCTGCTCCCCGACCCGCCTCAGAGTGAATGAGCGAATACCTCCGCCGACGGAGAGCTCACTACCTCACCTCCAGCCCCGCACCCATCTCGGGCTGCGCCGTCAGAAAGCCTGCCTTGGAGGTGAATCTGCTTCCCTTTAACTCCCACCAGGTGGGCCCGGCCTCAGGAGGGGTGCGCGCAGGCGGACTGCCTGAGCCCCCTCTGGCCCGTGCGCTCTGGGGGATTGGTGGTGAGGCCCAAGCAGCTGGGCTGTTAAAAACACTGCCCCTTTGAGCAGTTACTTCGCTCCCAGGAATTGCCCGGGGGTGGGGTGGGGGTGGGGGGTGGAGCTAAGGAATATAAGGTCCGTTGCAACATGTACAGGAGCAAGGTGGAAACAACTCCCTGTCCCGCGGAGGGGCTGGATAGTTGCAGCTCCGCCGAAGGATGGGCCACTGGGAGCCGAGAAGGTACTGATAACAGAAGCTCCTCAATAGGCCCAGGTCAAACCAGCAAGATGCAAAACAGCATGCCTGCTACTCCGCTTTCAAAGGGGTGTTGATGTACACATACAAGCAAGGAGATCGCTGAGGGGTGGTAACCTGGGGGGGGGGGGGGCGGAATGCTGCTAGCGAGGAAGGAGACCGACTTTGCACTTTACTCTGTCTCACACTGTCGCTTTAAAAAGAAAAAGCGCCCAGGTGTTACCTTTTAAAAGCAAACAATATTCTGCCTTGGCCGGTCGGCCGGCGGCGCACCGAAAGACCGAGGGTTTGATTCCAGGTCTAGGGCACATACCTCCGTTGCAGATTTGATCCTCGACCTCAGTCGGGTGGTGGGGAATGCAACCAATCCATGTGTCTCTCACAGGGATGTTTCTGACGCTCCCCACCTTCCTCTCTCCCTCCCACGCTCTCTAAAAAAATCAATGGAAAAAATATCCTCAGGTGAGGAGTAACCAAAAATAAATAAATAAAATTTTAGAGGGAAGCCCTGGCTGGTTTGGCTCAGTGGGTAGAGTGTCAGCCTGCGGACGGAAGGGTCCCAGGTTCGATTCCCGCCAAGGGCACATGCCTGGGTTGTGAGCTCGATCCCCAGCGGGGGACGTGCAGGAGGCAGCCCATCAATGGTTCTCTCTCATCATCGATGTTTCTGTCTCTCCCTCTCCCTTCCTCTCTAAAATCAATAAAATATATTTTTAAAAAATGTTAGAGGGGAAAAAACACTTCTATTATAAGCGTCCTTATAGCTAAATCTTTGTTCTTATAATAATTTCTTTAGTATAAATTCCTACTTGTGGTATTAAAGGAGCAAAAGGTATAAACTTTCCACGTCAGTTTTATTTTCGAATCAACTGTATTTTTTTTCTTTAATCCTCACCCGAGGATATTTTTTCACTTATTATTTTTAAAGAGAGTGGAAGAGAGAGGGAAAGAAATAGCAATGTGAGAGAAACCTATTAATTGGTTGCCTCCTGCACGAGCCCTGACCAGGGCCTGGGCCGGGGAGGAGCCTGCAACCGAGGTACGTGCCCTTGACTGGAATCAAAGCCGGGACCTTTTGGTCGTCCGCAGGCCAATGCTCTGTCTACTGAGCCAAACCGGCTGGGGCTCGAATCAACTGAGATATAATTTCCATACAGTGACATACATCCACTGTAAGTGGATGACTGGTAGAAGCCTGGGCACCACCACCATTATCAAGGCATGTAGAACGTTCCACCGCCTTCACGGGCCTGCAGTTTTTAAGAGCTCGATGGGGAGTGATTGTTAGCGGGTGGTCTGTGTTCATGGACTCCTGTTCTCTGCGTGTGGGGGTCGGGGCAGGGAAGGAGGTGGTGGGTCCTGACTGCTGCACTCTGGGGCCCTGAGCCAGGAGGTCTGGGAGGACAGCGGTCCTGGGTGTGCAGCGCCTTCACGAGGCTGATGCCCCGGGGGCCAGCAGCAGGACAGGGGGTGATGGCAGGGAGCAGCTTCCAAGAGTCAGAACTGACGGGCAGGGAGCAGGGAGCAGGGAGCAGGGAGCAGCTGCCTCGTGTGGCACTGGCTCCTCCTCGCTGGATGTTTGGAGGCTGGGCTTTAGAAGCGGTCCCTCCTCCGTGTGAGCAGATGGCAGGTCTGAACGTCCTGCGGGGTCCTCCCCGCTCCAGTGACACGACCGGCACTAGCTGCCACTCTGCGTAGCACGTACTGGGCACCAGGCTCAGGACTTCCTCCGGTTGTCTCCCCAAGACCTCACAGGAACCTCTGCAATCAGCTCCGTCTTGTCGAGCAGCTGGCACAGGCCCAAGGAGCAGGCAGTGGCACCGTGTGTCTCACCTCAGACCAAATGTGTACCCCACAGGCTATTCCCTAGGGTGCCGCCTCCTGAGTCACTGCAGTGGTGGCCCCGCTTCCTGGTGTGTAGCCTGGTGGGTCACTTGGCCTCTCTGCCCCTTCCTCATCTGTGGAACAGAAATAGTGGGAGTCCAAACCCCCGAGACAGGACCACTGTGGAACCCGGCCAGCAGGCCTCTGGGACCCTCCCCTCTCATCTCTGGGCCGGGCATGAACAGTCCTTCCTGCTGCCTTCTTGAAAGGGTAGTCGTGACCGCTTCACCCAGCAGGTCCTGCCCGGCCTGGCCCCTGGTGTCCATGTGCGAACTGACCTGCCTGGCCCCTGGTGTCCATGTGCGAACTGACCTGCCTCACTTGCCGCCAGGCTCCCTCCTCCTGAGCAGCTCCTCAGCACCTGTGGCCCAGGTTCTAGCTCCAAACACTCCCAGAAGGGCCCCTAACACTCCCAGAAGGGCCCCTTCCTGGGCCGGTCAGCTGAAGGGCCAGCAGTTAAAGTGCAAGACTTGACTCCCACTTTTCCAGCTGCTGGACAGGAAGGCTCCTAATTGTGTGCACATGGAGCAGTAGCTGCATTTTTCAGCCGAGGAAATAAAGGCTCTGAGCAGATTTGTTTGAAGCTGCATTGGGCTGAGAACCAGGCCTCCGGGCCCTCGGTCCTGGGCTCTCTGAGTGGCCCTGGGCAGACCCCTGCCCCTCAGTGGGAGGGTGAGCAGCCTCCTGGGTCCAGCATGAGGTGGACAGTAGACCCTGCTTGGTTAGAGGCACGTTGGTCTTGGCTAGTCCTACGTTTTTATTATTTATATTATCTTGGCCAGATCCCTTAGTCTGCCTTCCTCTCCTGAGCAGTCACCAGGTCCCGGGGATCCCATCTTTGATCCCTTCTATTCCCTGGTTCCGCCCCCCTCACCTGGGCTCCAGCACCAGCCCTGCCTGAGGAGCAGCGCCAGGCACGGTGCTAGCCCCTGGTGCTGGCTGCTTCCTGCTTGGTGACCCCTGTAGCCACCTTAGGCAGCAGCTTGGGAACCAAACCCTAGGCCCAGCTCAGTTTGGGGACAGACGGGCTTGCCCAGGGGAGGACCTGCTCCCCCAGGAGAAACAGAGCAGCAGATGGCTCAGGCAGCCGGTCTCGGGAGCCCTGCAGCTTCAGCGGCAAAACTGATCCGATAGGGCCCTGGCCCGCTCGCCTCCTGGCATCCGAGTGCTGACCCCGGACAGACACGGCTGCTCCCTGCACACGCGGCCCAGCTGCACCGCTGCCAAGAAAAGGCAGCTTTGTTGACTGCAGGGCCTGAAACCAGGCCAGGGCTGTGGGTGGGATGAGACGGGAGTGGATCCAGCCCACACGTGGTGCTGCCCAGCCAGCTGGACACTTTCCACCGAATACAGCCTCCGCCAGGCCAGGTGCTCCTGTGGACACAGCAGGGCTCTGCCTTCCTGAGCTCACCGGCTAGTAGTGTTGATGTAATTAAAATAGGCCTTTTCTGTTCAGAGGAATTAAGTTTTCATCTAAAGAATGCTACTCCCAGGACACTTGCCACCTCCCCCCAGGAAACTGGCTTTCCCTGCTGCATGCCACCTCCCCTCCCTGCACCGATGCTTGAGTGCAGAGCCTTGCAAAAGAGCCAGACCATCTTGTAGGGTTTACGATGATCACTATGATTATTCTCTTTTGCACGAGTTAAGACAAATGGTTAAAAACTAGAAGTAACATTGAGCCTTATTTTCCTTCTCACTTGTAACCAGGGGCGGAGGACTGCTGTGCTGGGCACTCTCCAGGCCGGCACCTCCTCTGGGCACGGGGTCCTCAGTAACCTGTGCTGCAAGTGGGCACCTTCCCTGGCTCTGGGCCGCTGGGGCCCCTGAGGCGACCCAGAGACAATGCAGGGACCACTAGAGGGAAGGGCTGGGGCTTGGCTGTCTCCTAGGCCCAGCACACACCAGGTATTTGCAGTTTGGGACGAGTAAGACGCAAGTGCCAACGGTTCTTTCCTAACTCTCCGCACAGCTGAGCCAGCTGCTCACCTGCAACATGGGCGTCAAGTTTCTGCTGCTACTTCCTTGGGGGGTCAGGTGAGCCAACTTCACGGTGCAGGTGGAGACTCAGAAGTGACGGGCACAGCTAGATGCGCTTCCTCCAGGAAGTGGCTGTGCCCGAGCAGCACACACCCTTTGCAACTACAACTAGTTTTTGTGAGGGAGGAGCCGCCGGAGCCGAAGCAGCGTTTCAGCAGTGGGCATGGCCGGGGATTCTCCGCGAAGCACGGGCCAGGGCAGTGGCCCTGCAGGAGCAGGGGCGGCGGCGGCTGACTCTGTGAGGTTGTGACCCTGGTCTCTGTTCCAGGCAGGAATTCCAGGCCTGGACTGGAGTCAAGCCAGCAAGATCCACAAAGGCGAAACCGACCACGGTGATCACAGCCCACAGCTCGGGATGGGCCGGCGGCCCTGGGGCCGGCTTCCAGGTCAGCCTGAGCTGGTGCTGCAGGGCCTGTGGGACAGGCCTTTCTCCTCCCCGCCCCCGCTCACCCACCCTCAGATTAGGGCCTAGGGGTCGGACTGCAGGGTGTAAATGGCATTATGGCTGGGGCAGCAGTGTCTAAACAGAAACCCAAGGTCCTTTGCACTGGCCAGGTGGTGTCCCCAGTGCTGGCTTCTCGGGTGAGCAGGTGTCTTTCCCGCCCAAGTCCCAGTCTTACCTTTGACCGCCAAGCAGTAGTGACAGGCATTCGCGAGGAGATGGAAGGGAGGTGGGGACTGTTCAGCTCCCGATTCCACCTGGAGGCGGCTTCAGGGAGCAGGATGGAAGGTCATGTGCCATATCTGACCTACTATGCAGTGACCCTGCCCACTGTGGAGGTTCCCCCGAAGACCCTTCAGGTTAGTAGCTTCAACTCGCAGAGGACAAAGGGGGGCCGAGAGGAGGAACTGTTTCCGGAGCTGAGGGAGGGAAGTGGAGGGAGAGGCCCACTGATCTGTGCCATGTCTTGTGTTTCAGGTCCCTGAGGTGAGGAAGACGTTCACTCCTAACGCCTCAGCCATCTTCCAGGCTCCGGCTCCCCGGGTCCTCAATGTATGACTCCCACCGAGCAGAGCCAGCGGGCTGGAAACGGGTGAGATCTGGGACCGACAGTCCCCTGCTGTCAGAGGGGGACGGCTCCTGCCTTCTCACCCTGGGGTGCACTCCCCCCAGCTGCCACCGGGCTGCAGGCCTGGCGCAGAAGGACATGGCACCACTCAGCCCAACTCTGGACCTCAGCCATCCTCGGGAAGCGTGCGAAGGCTCCCCATCTTTTAATTGCCCGTTTGGGCCGCCCTTATTTTTAAACCGCAAGAACTCGAGGATGAATTCTGTTGTGAACTGAACTGGCCCAGGGGCGCTGAGGCATGTGGACAGCAGGTCCCTGAAAGAGCCAGTCATGCCCGCTGTTTTCCTGGCTGCATGGTAACTTACAGCCTGCGGTAACCAAGGTAACGTTCTTGGCTGTTCCTACAAATGGTCCCACATGTTCAAGCTGTAGAAGGAACCTTAGGTTATCACCTGCATGTGATCCATAATTAGCAGCAAGAAGTTGCCAAAAGAAACAGAATATCAATCACAGGGTTTCAATTTTAAAGACATAGTTTCTTTATGGCCAAGATGACCCTGGTGTTTTTTTCTGTTTTTTATTTATTTCAGAGAGGAAGGGAGAGGGATAGAAAGAAACATCAATGATGAGAGAGAACATTGATTGGCTTCCTCCTGCACACCCCCTACTGAGGACTGAGCCCACAACCCAGGCATGTGCCCTTGACTGGAATTGAACCTGGGACTCTTTAGTCCGCAGGCCGACGCTCTATCCATTGAGCCAAACCGGCTTGGGTGACCCTTACGTTTTTAACAAAGAATTTCTCGGGATGCGTGCTTGAAGTATTGAATGAATGAATGCCATTTACCTTGTGGAAGGTTTCTGAGCCCCACATTTTCTTACTACTTCCAGTTTCCCCCTTAACGTATTGATAACTAGAAGGGAACTACCATCCACACTGGCTAAGAATTAAGAGCTTTCTTTTGTAATTTTCAACTTTTATTTACTGATTTTAGAGAGAGGAAGGGAGAAATATCGCTTTGCTGTTCTACCCCATTCATGCGTTCACTGGCTATTTCTTGTATGTGCCCTGACTAGGGATCAAACCCACAACCTTGGCGTATTGGGATGATGCTCTAACCAAGTGAGCTACATAGCCATGGTTGGGAGCTTTTAAAAAAAATTCTAATTTAATGTTATTTTAAAGATATATATTTGTATTGATTTCAGAGAGAGGGAGGGTGTTACATTAATAATGAGCATCATTGATCGGCTGCCTCTTGCATGCCCCCTACTGGGGATGGAGCCCACAACGCAGGCATGTGCCCTGACTGGGAATTGAACTGTGACCTCCTGGTTCCTAGGTAGATGCTCAATCACTGAACCACACCAGCCGGGAGCTTTTTTTTCCTTTTCTTTTTTAAAAGAAGACTGCAGTATTAGCTTCATTCCCTGAAAGTCCTTAAAATGTCATCTACACCAGCCTTTATTCTCAAGCCTGCCCTGCTAGTGACAGGGAGCTCACTGCCTGTTGAGGAGGCAGCTCATTTTGTCTTTGGAAAACTCTTTCCTTTAAAATTCCAGCCAGTGCGTCTGTGGGGAACAAGCCTGGTCCCCTCTTTGCACAGCAGCCCTTCAAACCCTTGAAGGCGTTTATGTCCCATCTTTAAGATGGAGGCACAGCCTAGGTCAATTTGGTGTAAGGAGGCACAAGGATTCCCTTTGGACTTTTCTCTCTCCAGCCCGAGGGGACTCTAGTCTGGAGCACTTATTTCAGCCACAAGAGGTGACATTTGGGTCTTAGAAGCCCTTCAGCGTGGAGGTGGGGCTGTGTTTTAGCTCAGGCTGCAAAGGGAGTGACCCCTCAGAGGTGCTAGCTCTGGTAGGATAGCCCTTCCCCTCATTCCAGCAAAGGAAATGCTCCGAGAATCATTTTAAAGGCAAAACCATATGCTGACACAAAGGGTTCTATTATTTCAGGCTTCATTGGTTTGCACATTAGATGTTGCTAAAAGAGACTGCTGCAGGGCATTCTGTGGGAAATGAACAGATTAATGAGACAGTTTCAGATTTTACTAAAACGCAAAAATATACTATTTCAATTTTTTGTTTATTTCTTTAATTATAAACGAGCACCTTCTCCTGCAATTTCCTTCATCCTCCTCTTGATAATAAGCACTTGAATGTCTCCCGGCTGCAGCTGATACCTGGAGGCTCACTGAGCCCGAGAACCCTCGCTTGGCTGCAGTCCACACCGGCGTTGCATGTGGCCTCTCACAAAACCCACCGACCTCCCGCCACTTAGCTCCCCCCGTGCCCCCCTCCCAGGAGCCTAGGTAAACAACTGTCTTTGAAGCTAGTCTTGGGCTCAGATCTTGACCTCCATTCGCTAGCTGTGAGCAGTTTAAGCTTCCGTTTCCTCGTCTGCAAAATGAGGCAAACCCCCTGACCTGGCTACGAGTCTGGGTGTTATGTGCAGGGTGCTTAGGACAGTAAGCAGAGTACAGCTTTGTAATAATTCTTTCCTACCCCTTTCTCAGGGAGCCAGCTCTATTCTCATGTGCAGCTTTGCTCCATCTCCCCCGATGCTGACACAGTCCCTCCCACTCAGACCTGCCCTCCACACGGCACACCTGGCGGTGCCTTCCCTCCCCGAGCCTGCCTCTTGCTGGCACACTTGCATGCCCAAAGACCTTTTTGAATTGCACTAGAACAGGGCTTTTCAAACACCCCAACCTGACAACCTTCCTAACCAGACTTCATTAATTAAAAGGACATCTGGGTTCGAAGAAACTTCCTCTCACTGGCTCTAGGTCTTAGTAAGGCCTAACGTGTTACCGGAGTGGACTTAAGAAGCCACTGACCCGGCTGGTGTGGCTCAGTGGTTGAGTGTCTCCAGGTTAGGGTTCAATTCCCAGTCAGGGCACATGCTCAGGTTGCAGGCTCAGTCCGCAGAGGGGGCATGCAAGAGGCAGGTGATCAACGATTCTCATCATTGATGTTTCTCTCCCTCTCTGAAATCAATAAAAATATACTTTAAAAAAAGTTAATTAAAAAAAAAGGGCAATTGAGACAACAGTTTCAACCATGTGGTCCCAAATCACATATATAATACACAGTGACAAATGCATTGGAATATTAATGGTAGATATCCTTAAGATGCGGATTTACGGGTAATTAAATTTTTTACTCATTATATTTACTAAAGTTTCTATATAATAAGCACTTTTGTATTAATTCTGTAAAGAGAAAAGTTTTTAAAAATAAAAGACGGTTCAATCTGTTAGCTAACGTCAGCCAAAAGGAAGAGTTCAATATTCCTGATTCCATAAGCAAGGTTAGCCCCGCCGGCAGCGCCTCCACCAGCTGGAGGCGGCCCAGAGGCCCCGAGGAGGGAAGCCCTGCGGTCCTTTCAGCTGGTCATTCAGAGCAAGTCCTGCTCTGTGGTGCTTCGAACTCAGAAACCCGCCTCAAATACTAATCCTTCCGCACCTGTGAATTTAGTAACGCCAGGACTTTAGGCTAAACTACGAGAGCAGCTTCTGAGGAAGCCTGGGCCCTGCAGCCCGCCCACACCGTCCTCAGCACGGCGCGGCCTGTGTCGGGTCTCTGGCTGAGAGAACACGCAGGAAGGGAGCCCAGCAGTGCCCCGTTCTCCTTCCTCCAGGCACTCAGCTCCCTGAAGGTCAGCACTAGTGAGGTCTGGTCCCAAGAAAGCTCTACACTTGGATGTCACAAAGCCCCTCCCTGTGAAGGAAGGGCTTTCCAGCCTTTGGTTCTCAGGAAGGGTGGACACAGAGCGGTCATTCTGAAATGTTTCTGCATTTCTGTAGTTTTTAGCCATCATGATAGCAGATGGCCAGGCAGGACTGTCTCAGGAGTAACTTCTTCAAGACCTCAGTACAGACAGTTCTCTCCTGCCAGCCACACCTGCGCGTGTCAGGCAGAGCTGGTCCCTCTCCACGTGGCTGTGAGGAGGCTCTGAGCTCAGCTCAGCAGCTTTCCTTTGCCTCGAGCTGTCGGAAATCAGTATGTCCAGTGTCAACATGGATCTTCCAAAATTTTTTCAGACACGTAACTGTTATCCTTTACCTTGCACAGATAGCCTCATGTTCTTTTTTGGAAAGAAGAGGGAGAATTTAACACAAATACCTATACCTTTGCCCCATCCTGGCTCTTTCTAACGCAATATAAGAAGAACTCGATCAAAGTGTAGTGATTCAAATTCAGAAAACGCATCACAAATACTAAAAGATTTATTGTAGGTATTTCTGTTACACAATTATATTACACATTATGATACAAATACAGACATATGGGGGCTGTTAAGTCATTTAATATTTCTTTTTCAAAAAGGTAATTTCTTTAGGCTTTCATCCCTGTAGTCCGTCCGTTCTCACTGGGATGAAACTCTGTCCCGTGGCTGTCACATTCCACTGCTGAATGAACCCACGCACTTGCCCACACCCCATCCGTGTGTGACTAGCTGAGCCTTTACTACCTATTTTACCACTAAGCCAGGGGCACCCTTGCCTTACTGAACAGACCTCCTCCTGCATCTGTAATCCTCAGATGAATAAAAGTGGGTAGATTTCTCATGGTGTCACCTCCCCACCTTCTTTTCCTGACAAACATCTGCAGGACTCATGAAAACACGAGTCATGTTGCCTAGATAAGTTCCTCTGACTCTGACTCACAGGTTTCAAATGGTCTTCGGCAGCTTCCTGACTGGGAATAAACTCATTACTTCCACAGACTGTTAGGAGGCCTGGGTAGCGGACCTTCAGTGGAACTGGACGTCATCCAGGTACAGGGCTACCTTCCTCCTCACTTCTCCCTCCCCCCTGCTCATGGACCGTCTATTCTCACTGCTGAGCAGGCACCCCTGTCTTTCGGCTTCAGCAGTCATTTCTCCACCTTTAAGGCACTCACAGTGTTTCTTTGAAACACTTTCCTTCTTGCAAAAAAAAACATGACTGAGAAGGGGAAATGGAATCTGACAAGACAGACAGTCCTGGCGGGGCTGTCGCAGGAGCTGCTCCCGCTGGCCGTTCAGCCTGGTGCAGCCTGGGTGGCCCGAGCACTGTGGCACCAGCTCGCTGCCTGGCACACACACGAAGCTGTGTGAGACTGCCAGGAGCCGGCATTTGTGGGCATTGTCTAGTATGAACATATTAAGAGCTCCTGGTTATACTCGAACCTTTCCAGACCAATGCTGGAATGTATCTGTTCCTTGCCTGTGACTTGTCCATCCCTCCTCTCTGAGACTGGCTGTACTGATGCTCCCGTGCTCCATAAAGTAAGACTTCTGCTCAGGCTGCAACCTCCGGGTCTTTGTTTTCCGCACAGCATTACCGCATCCTGTCACCGATGCCTGTGGGCCGAGTGCCAATTCTCCACACCGTGGCCACCCGCTGAGTGCTGAGCCCAGTCCTTCAGGTGTTGCCAGGTTAACCGCTGGGCTGCCTATAACCCACCCACAGAATGGGCGAAATCTCTAGCCTGCCAGACTCATGTTCTCCTCCTGGAGGGAGAGTCAGGCCAAGGTTCCCCCTTGAGGACGCCCCAAGGGGAGAAGGACCTCATACACAGGCCTGGCCCAGCTCTGGACCCTCTAGTGAGCTTTACAGAGAGTGGACAGATGCAAGCTGACAGCATGCACCCACAGCTTCACCCCAGAACCAGGAAGCCTGTGTCCTAAAGGGATCTGACCTGGGACTGAACACTCTGGTGATTCACTGAACTAGGTGGAGGGAACGGTGCGTTAACCATGATATTCTGAGGCACAGACACCTCCTTCCCCAAACAGAAGAGTCATCACAGTGCAAAGCTTCGGCTGCAGCTACAGATCCTGCTTTTCTAGGGGTGTCTTCATTCCACTCACTGATCTTCATTCAGTATCCCCATGTGTTTGTTTGTGAGGAAGTCCAGAAAAGGAATGTTGCAAATGGCCTGGTGAATGTTAGTCACTGTAATTTCTTTGGGAATCCTGGTCCAAAAAACAAAGGCGGTTAGGTGCAATTCTCTCAAGTATCTACTAGTTTATCTAAAGGGCCATCTCCTGCACAGGCCCTGGTGGGGGGTAATGGTAAGTGACAAGGCATGGTTTAGGGCAGTGGTCGGCAAACTCATTAGTCAACAGAGCCAAATATCAACAGTACAACGACTGAAATTTCTTTTGAGAGCCAAATTTTTTAAAGTTAAACTATATAGGTAGGTACATTGTTATTAACTTAATTAGGGTACTCCTAAGGCTTAGGAAGAGCCACACTCAAGGGGCCAAAGAGCCGCATGTGGCTCGCGAGCCGCAGTTTGCCGACCATGGGCTTAGGGCCACTTGGGGAGTGGCCGGGGGCATTCTCTCTCTTCTCTCCTATTAATTTTTTTAAACTTTGGTGAAGACTTGGCCTACCTACTTTATTCAGCCATATTTAGGACTCAAATCTGACTTCCCAGCCACAGGTATGACATGGACTTCAAAAAGCTGGTTGAATGATTAAGAAAAAGATGCTGAGGACTGAGAAAAAGGACGCCACGTGCAGCGCAGAACAATGGTATTCTGTGGCTCAGTCTTCGCAGACTGAGAGCTGAGTCAAAGTACCCAGGGCTCTGGGCCTCAGGGCCTGTCTCCTGGGAAGACGGTAGATGGAGTCCTGCCGGGCCACGTGTGATGTCAAATGTTCTCATCAAAAGCACCAGTCCCCCCATCTCCACAATCAGGCCAGGGGGCAGGCAGGGGCCCAGAAGGCACTCAGCCCGCTCCTGGACTTCAAGTGGACAGGAAGCGGATCACCAGACGCCTCTGTGCCCGATGCCACATTCCTGTGAAGGCTGACCTCGTGCTCTGACAGGCCTCTACGTCTGTCCGCAGTCACTCTTACAACTTTATCACAATGAGATAAAATATTTGTTTCCTCTGAAAGGAATGCCAGGATGTGGAACAAGGGCCTGGCTACCATTCTGTCAGGGCCCAGGAAAAGAACAAAACTCAGTGTCCCAATCAATGATAATGAGAGCGGCAGCAAGCTAGCGGGGAGCCTGTGAGTGGGCTTCGCAGCCAGGGAGCTCTGGGTCTGCCTCTAGGTTCATCATGGATGTGTTGGTAAAGCCAGGGAAGATCACCTTACAAAGCCAGGTTTCCCAATTTCCAAAAGGGGACTATGGGCTTTGCAATGAAAAAAAAATCAGGTAATATATGGATGCCTGGCCCCAACGTCTGGCATGTAATGGACACTGTTACTATCTTTAATTGCAAAGAGCTGGTAATTGTCCAACCCTGGAGCATAGCAGAGCCCTACTGAACGGTATCCACAGAGCCGTGACTGGGCAGATGCAGACTCTGGGCAAATCTGAGCTTCCACCACCAACAGGTTTTCTCAGAATAACCAACTAGAACCTGGAGTCTGTCTGCCTCTGAGAATGTTCCAGGCACAGACACCTCCATCTCCTCCTGGACTGACTTAAGTATAAAACATCTTAATGAGCAACTGAACTGTCAGGAAGTATCTGCAGGCCCGACACCATGGAGTGCAGAGAGAACGGTACCTGTTGTGGGATGCTGCCTGGTATCCGACCGCCAACGCCTGCCTCAGGATGTCACTCACCAGCTGCTCTGTAGCCTGCAACAGAACACGCTGTTACTCTCGCAACGGCCACCTGCTCTCAGGCAAGAAGGGCTAGATTTGACCCCAGCCCATACCCTACGCCTTGGAAACAACTGTGCCTAAGGGTCAGAAGTCCTCCAGGAAAAATTAAAAGTGGGAATAACAGACCACACAGAGTAGGCCACAATGACAGAAGCCACGACTCCCAGTGGAATGGGGTGATTCTCAATCAGAAGTTGTTTTTAAAGGAAACAAGGGGAGGGTTACTTGGCACCCTCTGCTGCGGGAAGGACACCAGGAAAGGAACAGCTGAACTCGGGCTGGGCTGGAGAGTGGGGCTACTTCTCTGCTGTGTTGTGATCTGTGCAGGAAACCCAAGGCACTGCCTTTGTCACCTCCTGAAGCAGAGAGAGCACCGACTCTCACCTCCAATTCCTTAAAAAGCACTTGAAGTAACACTAAAAATATCACAGTGACGTCAGGAAAGCAACTCTAATTGGAGATGCGTTTACACTTAGAAGAACCATACTTCACTTCACTTAAAAGTCCGAAGACAAAAAAGAGAAAACTTTAAGCCTGAACACGGTGAGAAATCTTAAAACTTGTGGGCCTCTCCGGTTTGGCTCAGTTGGCCTATAGATGAAAGGGTCCCAGGTTTGATTCCAGTCACCGGCATGTACCTCGCACCTCAGTGGCAGGCTCGATCCCCAGCCCCAGGCCAGGGTGCATATGGGAGGCAACCAATCGATGTGTGTCTCACATCAATGTTTCTTTTTCTGTCTCTCCCCATCCCTTCCACTCTCTCTAAAAACCAATGGAAAAATATCCTCGGGTGAGGATTAACAACAACAAAACACAAAAGAAAACCTTGTCATCTCTGTTCTGTTTGTCCTTGTCCCTTACCCTAAACAGCTTGCCACCCATCCAGCCTGCCCCACCTGGCTGGCCCTCTGCTGCCAGCAGGCACCCACCTTTAAAATCATGTCCTCCACCACCGACGCATACACGTTCCTGTGAAGCGCCACGGGCTGCAGGGTGATCCCAATCTGGAAGAGCCAAAGGAAGCATTAGCTCCAATTTGCACATGAGAACAGCCTCTTTAAACAAAGCACATTTCTCTGATACCCAAGGAGATGTCCAGCTGGAAAAGATATCCTATTTCTCATGATTCTAAGTGATGGTTAAAAATGCTATTATAATGCCACAGTTACCCCCACATCCTCTTCATGGGAGACCATGATCAGAATTTGCCATGAATCCCGATAGTGGGATTAAAACACTGGAAAGTCTGGACTCAGACTAAGGCACTGTTTGCAAAAGGTGGTGCAGATATACTTGGAAATAGTGCCTGGCTGCGTTTTTCACTTCCTCCTGCAAGTGACAACACACACTGCCTTTCACTGTGGGTCCTGAGTAACTGTAGGTGCAGATGCTGGACAGCTGCTGAGCTCTCTCAAAGAGGACAACTGCTCTCCTGTGCTATCAGGTGCATCTGCACCGCAGACAGGGCACCGGGGGCTATGGAAATGCAAGGGGAAGCTCACCCTCTGAAGTCTGACTTGGAAAGATTATGATGTGCCTCCCTCACGAGAGAAAGGTGTTTCTACTGAGGCAAATGAGAAAAAAGGAGATGGAAAATAACAAAATCTACTGCCTTTGCTTTAATTCCACGCTCAGCAAGCACCCTTTTCACGTGTAATTAACTTCTGTGTTGCCCAAGGGAAACACAGCCCGAGTTTATCAGGTGAATGTCCGAGCATCTCGCACCTGGTTTGTGATCTAGCGTCACCACAAGCCGCAGCCCCTACCTTCTGTGTGATGTCGCCAATAAACTCAGCCCCTGGTGTTGGTGGCAGGTAGAATTTCATTTCTTCCTGCTTCTCCTCCTGCTCTTTTTTGACGTTTATCTGCAATGGCTCTGAGAGGTTGAGGACGTCCACCTCCTCCTCGTTCTCCGGCTCTCTCTTCTGAAACTGCTGGAGGTCCTCCAGCTTCCGGCACAGGCTGTCGGCAGAGGAGAATGACGACGGGCACTCTAAAGGAGAGGTGATCAGGCTCAGAACAGCTGTGGTGACCAAAGAAAAGGACTTGCCACCTGGGTAAGACCAGGGGCCTGAGACCCAGAGAAGAGGAGTAAGTATCAAGGGAACTGAGCGTCTGGCCCTAAAATGCGATGGTTCTGTAATTATGAGAACTAGTAACTCATGAGGTAGACAAGCAGAAGGCACCCTGCTAGGTGTACGTTGATATCACTGCCACCTGAGATGACACAGCCAGTACATAATTCTGACTCATACCACCCAAAACTAGACCATCTCCCCACCCCTCAAATATTAATGACTAATTTTTTTCATATTTTTAAATGTGGATAATTTAGAAATGTGCAGTGAAGAAAATGAAAATCACCCATGTTCTCACTGTTCAGAGAGAAGTACTGCTATCATTTTAGGTACAGCTCACACCCAGTCTTTCATAAGCTGATTTACACAAAACCTAACAAAGAGCATTAGAACTTCAAGCCGGCAGGGGCTCTAGGCATGTTCCAGTGCAGCTGTCGCCAACCGGTGGTCCGTGGACCTCAGGTGGTCCGTGAGGTCGAAAGGTTGGCGACCGCTGGTCTAGTGCACCCCTCACTCTATGGACGAGCGAGTCAGACCAGCCACGGGATGGAGGAGGAGCACCTTGCTCCTGGCTACTTCTGCTTTACTGACTGGGCCCCCACAATTAATCAGTCATATTAACGGGGATCCCATTATATGGGGAGCATCATGCCTTACATTTACTACCAGTAAAGCACAGAAGTAACTAACGTGGTCTCTGCTCTCCAGAGCTTAGCTGCATAAATATGACAAACCCCCAGGCTCTGTATTGAGCGCTGCTGGAGATCAGGGCAGGGAGAGGTCGTCCTGCATTGGGGTCTTGGGAAAGCTCCGTGGAGGAAATGAGACTTGCACTAAGTCTTAAAGGACCCCCACCCACCCTCCCTGTGCTCCAGGTTTCCTCAGACGGGGAGGCAGAACTTCTGTTTTTCTACAGAAACAACCCTTCCTATTCTTTTTAAAAATATATATATATTTTTATTGATTTCAGAGAAGGAGAGAGAGATAGAAACATCAATAATGAAAGAGAATCACTGATTGGCTGCCTCCTGCATGCCCCCCACTGGGGATCGGGCATGTGCCCTGACCGGGAATGAACTGTGACCTCCTGGTTCATAGGTTGACACTCAACCGCTGAGCCACACCAGTCAGGCAACCTTTCTTACTCTTTAAGGTGAAACTCAAAATATTCTCCCAATATATCTTTTAGGCACTGATCCCTCACCCCCACAACAACACAGCTGCTTATATTTTTATCATAAAACAATTCATTTTATCTGCAACATTGTTAGTTGTTTACGTCTGTGCGTCCCCCCAACGCTGGGTGGTACATTTCCTAGCCAAGTCTGCAGATGAAGTGACAGATAAGGCAGTGTCCCCAGATTCAGGGAGATTGGATCCATCTAGGAGGGTTATAAGGTCACAAAGGAAGAAGTCACTTCTGCCTGGAGGAAAGGAGGTGGATTAGCACAGTCTTCCAAGAAGAAGTGGTGCTGAGGAGGAGACTCCTGAACACACAGTGCGTGCCTATTGTATGACCTGGGACAACACTGCTGGTGGGACACGGCACTTGGGCATAAATAGTTCTATAGGGGCTGTGTTAGGGGAGGGCGGGGTCACAGGGTCAGAAGTGAGCAAAGGCTCCTGTTCTCCACGGTAGCTCGTGGAGTCCTGAGTAAACTGCAGGGGTTGGAAGAGATGAGTGTGTACCAAGGAGACAGGCCTCAGGCTGCTCCCCTGAAGGCTGACCTGGCTCGCTGTCGATCTGCGTCAGCACGTCCTCAATGGAGTCCCCGTCGCTCCTCAAGCTCTCGGGATCAGGTGGGGTGTAGCCATGGCAGCGACACCAGTGAGCAATGTGCTTGGTTTTCAGGGGCGTCAGGTGGTGAAATCTTGGGTTCTTCTCCAGTATTTCTTGTAAGACCTTTCGCATTGTCATTGCTCTTTGCCACTTAAAAAAATTATTTTTGAATTATAACCAAATTCTTCAACTTAGTAGTGTTCAAACAAATCACCCAATTGTAAATCACCCTGCTAACTTGTTAGAACCATTTTTTTCTAAAGAAAACAATCTGATTGTGTTAATCCTCAATTTAAAAAAAGGGGGAAAGAACTTTTACCTAGTGCTTATAAAATAAAATGGCTCTCCTCAGTGTAAGTTGGCCTACAAGGCGTTTCACCTGGTCTCAACCTATTACCTCCCACGTCCTCTCCTCCAACCTCCCCCAAACCCTTTGCAATGACCTTCTCATAGCTCCCAAGCATGCCTTTGTACACCCTGTTTCCTCATAACCCCACTGTCTGGCATAGTAGCTGCCGCACTGGAGGTACTCAATAAACACTTGATTGAATTTTAATATACTGAAATTCATTAAAGAATTTTGTAAAAGTGTCTACCAATGCAAAAAAAGAAAATGGACCTTTTAAAGGCTAGCTACAAGTCTTAAAGAACAAGCTATGTAACTGAGGAAAAGATTCTATCACCAAATATTAACAAAATATGCTTCACATTTTATCACTGGTCCATAAGACAAGGCTTATGGAAGCGGCCAGAATGCACACGGTAGACATGGGTTACCTCGGCAGCTCTTCTCTTTCCGATGTTCCAGCCATAATACTGCTGCACAGACTTGGCAGAAAAACAGCTGGCATCTTCACCTAGAAGGCACAGATCCAGCAAACTCTGAATAAAACCATGATTTAATTCAAGTCTTATTTGTTGGAAGCAGGTCCCAAAGTTTCTTTAGACTTCCTCACTGAAGTATGTTCCTTACCGGGCAAGTTCAGATGTTCTCCTTAAGAGAAGGCATCTCATTTGTGCGCACTCAAAACAGCACCCTTCTTTGGTAGAGAAAGGTAATCCACTGGCTGAAGCTATTAAAATAAGTGGAAATAAAACTCCTCCAGGAGCCAGACGACCTGAGACCTGGCTCTGGCCGTGCCCTTAACTTCGTGGGCGGGGGACCTGACGTCACCTCTCTGGGCTCCAGTTTTCTCATCTGGAGGACGAGATTGCTGGGAAAGAAGGTTCTGAACCGCCTTCCAGCTCTAATACCCTGAGGCATTTGTACCTAAATTTTTAAAAAAAGATTTTTGAGTGATTTTTTCTGCTGGGCTAGGAACATGTTATTGAAAGTATTCTTTGAACTGCCTCAAAATGACCCCTTAAACTTCAACCAAGGAAAAAAGATACTTCCTTTGTTATTACCGTTGGGAGTAAAATGAGCAGGGCAGTCTGTACTCGGCCTACCATTCTCATACTTGCATGAATATAGTACGATCATGTGCTCCATCCCTTCCCTCTAAGTGTTCAGGGTGATCTTGCCCAATATCACAGGCAGCCTGTCTTCAGAAGAGGCTGCTACTGTCAGAACACCTATGCTGAGAAGCCAGCTTCAGTCTGGCCAACAACGGCAGCAACAGGGCAGACAATCATGCATTTCGCAGCACGCGACAGTGAGTGGAGGAGGGAGGATGAGAGGCCTTGAGGTCATACAGAACTGGGGCTGTAGCCTACTTCACCACCCACAGCTAGTGACCTTCTGCAGTTACTTAATTTTACTATCCTTGATTTTCTCATCTGTAAACAGAGATGACATCCCACAAGAGACTGATTAAATAAGACAGTAAATGCAATGAGCCTGCAGAGTCTGGCACACTGTAGGCAAATGTTAATTTCTTTCCTTATAAATAAATATTAAAAACGAATGCAGCTTTAATGATATACATAACACATTAATGATTTATATACAAAAAATGTGAAAAATTCCTTTTGCAGGTCAAACACTAAAGACAATAAAAGACTAACTAGTTGACCAAGATACTATGAATTCTAAAACTCTGTAAATGAGCTATAGCTGTAGCCAAACCTCTAAGATAACCACTGCAGTATGAATTACAGTACAAGTGATTAAGTTGACTCAATATTCCAAGTAGTTCACAGCTTTTAAAAAATGCACCCATATATTTAGTATAAGTGTCTTACTTTTTGCAGTGATTAATGGGATCTTCTTTACTACTGCCGTTAAGAGTTGCTGGATAGTCTCTAAATGGTCTATCCTGAGAAGGAGAAAAGAAAATTGAGGTTGTAAATGCATATAACAGTTTCTAGCCATATATACACATAAATTTATATACTTATTCCCCCTTTCTGAGGGAGTTAAAACTTTAATTATACAGGCAATCTTTCCTTCCATAGACACCCTTCTTTATAAAAGGAGATCATTCTATGCTTATAAAGAAAACATCAAATTAAATAAACAAATGAGACCCCAGGAATGGCAAATTATGCAAATAGTAGACATTATTTTACTTATATTTGTAAATAGCCACAGAACCTTTTTGCATGGTGACTGCCATTAGAGCAGAAAATCCTGTAATAAAAATGCCTATCTTAGTGTTATTCCAGTTCACAAGCTGTCTACTATTGTGTGAAAACGGCTAATTTTCTACTGTCCCCAGTAGCCTGAGATACATCAAAATATGTGGTCAGAGATGGTCACCAATTTGGAAACTGGAAAATCATATGAATTTTTTTTGGTTTGTTTGTTAATCCTCACCTGAGGATATATTTTTCATTGATTTTTTAGGGGGGGGGGGGGGGGAGAGGGAAGAGAAACATCGATGTGAGAGACACATCGATTGGTTGCCTCTTCCCCCACATGCCCCAACCAGGGCCAGGGACCAAACCTGCCAAACCCAGGTACGTGCCCTTGACACAGAATCGACTCTTTGGTGCATGGGCTGATGCTCCAACCACTGACCAACACCGGCCAGGGCATGAAGTGTTTTTAGAAGCAATGAGTGCGTATGGCCCATAAAAGGCAGCTGTTTAGGCAGGTACGTGGGTACTTGGACAAAAAATGTGTACACACCTGAGTAATTACATCATGTGCAAAGTATATACATGCTGGCAAGCTCGCTGGAGGGAGGTCTGTAATTCCACCTGAGGCTCCGGAGACAACAGGTAAGGTGATGCCTCAGGCCCATCAATGTGTAAAATGGAGACTCGGAGGCTGTGCATCAATACTTGATCACCACACGGACAGGTCTCCACCCGGCAAGGGGCTTAATAATACACACCCACAACTCTACACACACTCAACTGTCCCAGGCATGGTTTTTTAAATGTTTCAGAAAAACATCCAGAGCACAACTCCCTTAGCAAGGACGGAAATAATTACTTAATAGCATAGTTCCCCAGCTCAGAACTCTCTTCTGTTTTCACTGCTGTCTGACCCTCCTGAGTGAGGCAGCTTGGCCCAGGAGTTTCTGGTTCAGTCTTCACTACAAGGGAAGAGCAACAAAGAGAGAGCTGTTAGGGAACAATGATGGAAGGACACGTGCAGGCAGAAACAAAAGCCCTTCGTGGAAACCCAGTGAGGGAAGTGCCGCAGCAGCTGCGGTAGGGACACGGCGGGGGCCTGAGATGGCGCCTGTCATCACAGTCAGCAGACAAGGGGAGAACTGTTAGCTTGGGTCTCGTGGGTCTGTCGCTACTGTCCCCTTAGTCCGGCATGCTCCTGACTCTCCACAGCTACAAAGGCTTCACTCTTTTAAAATCCAGGTGACAATCCATGTCCATACAAAGTCCTATCCCCCTCCACACCCACCAACCCTGATCAGACATCCTAGACCAGGGGTGGGCAACCCCTGGCACGTGTGCCAAACATGGCATGCCATTAACTTTGGCTGGCACGTGAAACCCTCTCTTATAATCTTCCATTTACAATTTTTTCTTAATATCGACTTTTTTATTTTTCAGATAAATTCAGTGTAGGTGCATCTTAGATAATTAAATAATTTTACATAACAAGTTATCTTAAAGACCATAGACATGGATTGACAAGAGAGGGGAAGAGCAATTTCTATGCCTCTGCCTTAACTCTCCCTGCCTTCCTAGATCCGACCAGTGTTTTGGTTTCATCCACATACGCTTTGTTCTCAGTGATGAATTTTGTTAAGTCTCGTAATAGGAGTAGCCTGACGGATGAAAGCAGTAGCTCGTGCGTATCTCTGAAGGTCACGAAATATAAACCTGATGTAAAATCTCTGTCATCAGTGATGCAGCAGCAAAAGTCCCACTGATAATATGAAATGGAGTCATAAAGTTTTCTGTCGGACTATCAGTGTACATGTATACATTAAAAAATAAATGTATTTTTCATTATCATATACTGTTTTTGTTGCTCGAATGAATTTTATTATTTCTTCAAGGTTCTTCACATATGTACACCTTAAGAGATATCAAGTAGGCGTAACATGTTCTCAAAAAATTAGGGTTGGCACGCAGAAGAATTTTGAGTCAGAGATTTTGCTGGTTTTGGCACGCACTCACAAAAAGGTTGCCCACCCCTGTCCTGGACTGAAATATTCCAGAATCCACTTATCCTGCATTTATCACTCACTACTTACTATCTATCTCAGTCAACTCTCTTCAACATGATTACACGTTCTTGAAGGGCAGAAATGATGCTACATCTCTATGCTTCCCTCAATATCAAGTCTGTATGTAAACAGTAAGCATTTTTGAGGTGGCTGATCCACAGATGCTGAAAAATATTTGGGTTGTAGACCCAAGGGACTCATTAATGTCTTGCATAAAACCTGAGGGCAGATATACTGTGAGAAACTACATACCTTTTGTAACAGCTGCTGGAGCAGAGCTGGGGACAACTGCAGTGGGGGCGGCAACCGGCAGGATGGTCGGTGATTTGTTGGCAGAAAACGACTGAACCACTAAAGGCAAGAAAGGGCAGGGGAGGATATAAGAAATATAGGAATTATTGTATAATGAGGATGATCTAACAGATGAGAGCCCAATTTAGACTAATAGCACTAGACAATCACAGTGCAACTGAAATGAAGGTCCTTTTTAATAGTGATCTTGACAAGGCAGGCTGTTTACTATTAGTACTAGGGTAACTGAGTCATATCCATCAACTGTGGAAATGGGGGTTTGTCATTAAGAAAATAAAAATCCATTTATGAAGTCTCATAAATGCTTACAGTGCTCCTCCTCTATTCAGCTTTAGAAATGGGCAGCTATTAGAAGCCACGGGCCACCTGGGTTGTACGGTCAATCCTAGAGTTGGTGCTCTAGAACAGCAGCGCCAGTCGGTGGTCCGCGGATCACTGGTGGTCCGCGAGGTCCGAAAGGTTCGTGACTGCTGCTGTAGAGCTCAAGGTGCCAGGGAGCATGTGACAGCCAAAGGCAGGCTGTGCAAGGGGGAGCAGTCACCACCTGACAGAATATGGACTTCCCCCACGACAGACCTGGAGACAACCACAGGACAGCCCTGCTGAAGGACTTACCTTTATTCACGGGCATCAGTATAGTCTGCACACCTCCAGATGTATTTACACTGAGTGGTTTGAGCTGGCTGGGGATGGTCAGGACCGCCTGCTGGGGATTGGATTGACTGGAGTGAATCTTTAGCAATCCTAAAATAAGTTGGAAGACAGGGCCAAGCTGAAGATCAGATGCTTCCTTGAAGTTCCTGCCCTCGTGAGCATTTATATTTTCTCACAAGAGGAAGTTCTTAGGACACTCATCCTTTTCAATAAACAACGAGCTGAAAGCATGAGGCCATGGATGTGACAGATTTCACAATGAAACAATGGTGTGATGATAATGATTTATTTTTACCTCACAATCACAAATATAGAAATTTTTGGAAAAGCAGAATAGAAAAGAAAAAGTCACCTAAAGTTCTATTACAAAGACAACCAGTATTGAACATTTTGAGAGTTCTTTTCCATGCTTGTTTTCTATGACAATTTATTTTGTATATAGCTGAAATACGTACAAATCTGGACATAAAATTATTTTGATTTAGATAACTGCCATTTTTCTGCCATTAAAAATCTTCTCTGACTCCTGACTGCCTAGAGAATGTTTTCAAAATTAGTTTCAAAGCATTCAGAGTCCATTTTCATCTGGTCCCAACTGACCTGCACCCCTCATACCATCCCTGTGTGTTAATACTTTACTCTGTCTACTCGCTGTCCCTTACAAGCGACTATCTCTGTGCAGCCTCTATTTGTCAAACACCAGAGATTCTCAACTTGGCATTTTAGAAAGGGTCATCCTCCCCCACTTTCCTTTAAAGGTTGTTTCCACATTCCCATTTCCACTACAGAACTGTGCTAGGCATTCAGAGGGCCAGTAAAATACGAAGGGCATTGCTGTGAGAGAGCACAACAGGTACAACACAAACCCCTGTTATAATGTCATTACTTAAAACAGCATCAGCAGAGAAACCAAGATGGCGGCATAGGTAAGCACCGGAAATTGCTGCCTCGCACAACTACTTCAAAAATACAACTAAAAGACAAAACGGACATCATCCAGAACCACAGGAAGGCTGGCTGAGTGGAAATTCTACAACTAGAAGGAAAGAGAAAAGCATACTGAGACTCAGAGGAGGTGCGGAAGTGAAGTGCAGAGGTACGGAGGTGCACTTGGAAAGGGCTGGCAACTGAGGACATGGTTGTCTTTTTTCAATCGGGAGAGAGTCTCAAGCTCCCGACTGCTCTGAACTCCAGTTCCAGGTGAGTCTCTGGGGACCCAGACTCACACGGGGAGAATCTGGACTGTCTGGCATCGATCGGAACTCCAGGGCGGCTTTCTCTCAGAAGTGCTTGCAGCAACTACCGGGACACTGAGACTCGGGGCCTCTTAGGGTAGGTCTGAGGATCAGCCATAGCTGCTTGCTCCGCCCTGTTGATCCCCTGAGACCCCGCCCCACACAAGCTGCGGCAGAGGCTTTTGCATATCAAAGGCCTGGCCCTTTGCAATCTGAAAATTACCTAACAAACTGCAGCTGGGTCAGAGAGACCCAGAACTTCCAAAAGAAGGCCCAAGGGCCCACAGCAGCTTGCATTGCTTCACAGCTGGGCCTCATCTGGGCACCTCCAAACCCCATACAAAGAGGAATCTGCAGATCTCTTCATAGCTCCTGCTGGGTAGCCTCAGGCAGAGGCTAAATTAGTACCTCCTTAGAGATCCAAGAGCCAGTGTACCCAGTGGTCAGAGTGGGACCATCCAGATTACAACTCCTCAGATCCATAAGAGACACACTCAGGGGGCAGACTCAGTGAGCACCAAAGCCCCACTGAAGCAAGTCTTGCCCCAGAAGGGTGTCTCCAGCACAGAAGTTCTCCCACTGCAGACACAGCTGATTCTCACAGCCAACTGGTCTGGAGGTCAATTCCTCCCAGTGATACCTACAACAATCAGGGCTTAACTACAACAAGACTGTGCACAAAGCCCACAAGGGGGTGCACCAAGAGTGTCCACCTCAGGTAATTGGGGAGGCTGAGCCACTGGGGCCTATAGGACACCTAGCACACAAAGCCACTCTATCAACACAGGGAATCATAAAAAATGCGGAGACAAAGAAACAGGTCACAAATGACAGAAATGGAGGAAAGCAAACTACTGGATATAAAGTTCAAAACCACACTTTTAAGGTTTTTCAAGAATTTTCTAGAAACCGCCGATAAACTTAATGAGACCCTCAAGAAATCTAGTGAGACCCTCGAGGTTGTGATAAAGGACCAACTAGAAATTAAGCATACACTGACTGAAATAAAGAATATTATACAGACTCCCAACAGCAGACCAGAGGATCGCAAGAATCAAGTGAAAGATCTGAAATACAAAGAAGCAAAAAACACCCAACCGGAAAAACAAAAAGAAAAAAGAATCCAAAAATATGAAGATAGTGTAAGGAGCCTCTGGGACAACTTCAAGCGTACCAACATCCGAACTATGGGGGTGCCAGAAGAAGAGAGAGAACAAGATATTGAAAACCTATTTGAAGAAATAATGACAGAAAACTTCCCCTACCTGGTGAAAGAAATAGACTTACAAGTCCAGGAAGCGCAGAGAACCCCAAACAAAAGGAATCCAAAGAGGACCACATCAAGACACATCATAATTAAAATGCCAAGAGCAAAAGACAAAGAGAGAATCTTAAAAGCAGCAAGAGAAAAACAGTCAATTACCTACAAGGGAGTACCCATACGACTGTCAGCTGATTTCTCAACAGAAACTTTGCAGGCCAGAAGGGAGTGGCAAGAAATATTCAAAGTGATGAATACCAAGAACCTACAACCAAGATTACTTTATCCAGCAAAGCTATCATTCAGAATTGAAGGTCAGATAAAGAACTTCACAGATAAGGAAAAGCTAAAGGAGTTCATCACCACCAAACCAGTATTATATGAAATGCTGAAAGGTATCCTTTAAGAAGAGGAAGAAGAAGAAAAAGGTAAAGATACAAATTATGAACAACAAATACACATCTATCAACAAGTGAATCTAAAAATCAAGTGAATAAATAATCTGATGAACAGAATAAACTGGTGATTATAATAGAATCAGGGGCATAGAAAGGGAGTAGACTGACTATTCTTGGGGGGAAAAGGGGTGTGGGGAGTGCGGGAAGAGACTGGACAAAAATCGTATACCTATGGATGAGGACAGTGGGAGTGGTAAGGGCAGAGGATGGGGTGGGAACCAGGTGGAGGGGAGCTATGGGGGGAAAAAGAGGAACAACTGTAATAATCTGAACAATAAAGATTTAATTAAAAAAAAACAACAGCATCAGCAGGTAAAGATACTTTAGCGAGTGGAAAGCAGTTGCTTTAAGGAAAGGAATACCTTAAGTACTTTCTAGAAGAAAGCCTTAAATAAAAAAAGAAAATCTTTTTTTGCAATAGATGAATGTTAAACCAATCGTTACAAGTACTTCTTGAGACATGCCACCGGAGAGTAAAACAATGACTTGATATTTTCATTTTATAAAAAAATACATTTTTATTTCAGAGAGAGAAGAGATTGATCTACAATCGAGGCATGTGCTCTGACCAGGAATCGAACCATGACCTCCTGGTTCATGTGTTGACGCTCAACCACTGAGCAACACCAGCCAGGCTATTTTCATGTTTTTTAAATTCTTTTTTATTAAAATATTCCATGCTTATCAGTTGAAAATAAAAAGTGCTAACACGCTTATAACTAAAAATAGTCATCCTTTGCTCCACCTCCCTAGCATTGTCTAGTTCCTCAGTAGCATACAATATACATATATATTTTTTAACTGATTTTTTTACAGAGAGGAAGGAAGAGGGATAGTTAGAAACATCGATGAAAGAGAAACATCAATCAGCTGCCTCCTGCATACCTCCTACTGGGATGTGCCCGCAACCAAGGTACATGCCCTTGACCGGAATTGAATCTGGGACCTTTCAGTCCGCAGGCCGACACTCTATCCACTGAGCCAAATAAGTTAGGGCAGCATCCACTTTTTTTAAAAATATATTTTTTATTGATTTCAGAGAGGAAGGAATGAGGAGAGATAGAAACATCAAAGATGAGAGATTCATTGATCGGCTGCCTGCTGCATGTCCCCCACTGGGGATCGAGACTGCAACCCAGGCATGTGGCCTTGACTGGAATTGAACCCAGGACCCTTCAGTCCGCAGGCCGATGCTCTATCCACCGAGCCACACCAGCCAGGGCAGTAGCACCCACTTTTAACCCTTTTGGTCATTTCTTTTTTTTTTTTTTTTTTAATATATTTTATTGATTTTTTACAGAGAGAGGAAGGGAGAGAGATAGAGAGTTAGAAACATCGATGAGAGAGAAACACTGATCAGCTGCCTCCTGCACATCTCCCACTGGGGATGTGCCTGCAACCCAGGTACATGCCCTTGACTGGAATCGAACCCAGGACCCTTCAGTCCGCAGGCCGACGCTCCATCCACTGAGCCAAACCGGTTTCGGCAGTTTCTTTTAATATTTATTTCAGTATTTCTTAAAAGAATGTGTATATTGTAGGTCTTGATTCATTTTGATGTAACATTTTAATGTTACATACTGACTATTAAGACTTAAGCACATTAAGGTACTTATTCCCTTTCTTTCTTAATACTCAAATATTATTCTCTATCGATGCAAAGAATACCACGATACTATGATTCCATTTTATTTTCTGGGCTTAATAATTTCCTCCTTATTTGTTTAATTCTCTTTTAACATCTAAGTCTTCACTTCTTCAAGATTGCTGCAAACCATCCTTTAATACAGTTCTCCACATAGTCAAATCTAAATAATTTACAGTCCCGTTTTATAAGAGATGTCCTTCCTGGAGCTCACTGATCTGCTCCAATTCGGATGTTGCTTTCTAGGCCTGCAGCAAAGCTCTCATCCTGGGGATATCCTCCACCGTTACTCTGGAGTCCCCTTTGCCTTCATGTTGGATTCTGTTTTCTTCCTCTATTTTGGTCTACAACTCCTCACTCTGATAAAACTTGTATTTTAGTCATGTCTTCAGACAGGGTTCATAGGACATACACTGGCAACCCTCACACTCAGTATTGTTTGGGCTGACTACAGAATTCTAAACTGTAAGTAATTTCCCCCTAGAATTTTGAAAGGTTGTATTCTAGCTTCTGGCATTGCTACTGAAAAGCCAATGATATGTAATTTCTGAACTTTTCTTTGTCTGACAGCTCTTAGGATCTTCTCTTTGTCCCTGGTGTTGTGATTTCATGAACAAATTGTGCCTTGACGTGAGCCATCTTTCATTCATTGTGACTTTTGAACCTGGAAGTTCGTGCCCTTCAATTCTGGGCTAAATTGTTTCATTTTTCGGATCATTTCCTTCCCACTATTTTCTCTTTTCTTTCTGGAACTCCTTTTAGTCTAATGTTGCCGGGTTTCCCTGGTACATCATTGACTTTTCTTTCTTAGTGCCTACTTCTTGGTCCGTCCCCTGCTTCCACTTTGGGCCCCATAGTTTAGTCTAAAGGCTGCAGCCAGTGATCCTGTTAAAAGATAAGGCAGATCATGTTACCCTTTAGCTTAAAACCCATCAGTGGCTTCCCTTGGAGTAAAAATCAAAGTTCTTAGAATGAGCTACAGAGGCCCTAGAGATTTGGCCCCATCACCCTGACTTCATCTCTAGTGCTCTTTCCCTTGCCCACTCTGCTCCAGTCCCACTGGTGACTGACCTGTTCAAACTAGTTTATAACGCACACAAAATGTCATTAAAAACTTACTGGTCAGTAGGAAATACTTTGATTCTGTTATGAAAATATTATTCAGAAAGTTTCATCACAGCATCTTATGAAACTAGAACTTAAAAGCAGGAAGACTTCATTTACTGCATGCTTAAAAACTTAGTCAGAAAAGGGGAGGGCATTCATTCTTATAGTATCTACTCTGGTTCTGACACGTGCCTCCAAACAGTTAGTAAAGCAGAGCACTCCTTATACTAGATAGAACTTGATCACTTTCAACTGGGAGGTGGAAGTCACGGATAAACCGATCAGCCTTAATCTTCTGGTCTCCTCTAACGACCCCAAAGCAAACAAGACATGGGGCTTGGTTTAGAGTCATGTACAGAATGTAGTGATGACAATGATTATAATAAGAACAACAATATCCTCAATCTTTTATCCAAAGGGATTAAGGTGTGTGTGTGCGTTTATGCACTTTCAAGTGATACTCAGTTTTTTCTGTTTATCAGTGCCAATTGGTACACTGTTATCAATCTACAATAAGACATTAATCTGTTATATTACTATGGAAATTAAGAGTGTTTAGAAACTTTTACAACAGTTTGACGTTGCTGTGACATTTTTATAGTATTTTAGAAAAGCATCTGGATTAGATTGTAGAAAAAAACAGAACTGATCTCTCTCAAGTCTGAGACAATGCTGCAAATTACATCAGCCCCTGGCATCTAGGACAACACGATGCAATAAAATACATTAATATTTCTTCATCAAAATACAAATATCCATATTAAGTAGTATAAATAGCATATCAATGGAGGTTAGATTTCACCCTAAAATTAGTTATGAAAGTAAAAAACAAACCTTTGGTTTTCACAGCTTTTTGGATTTTAGAATTGTGGATAAGGAAATGTGGATTAACAACAATGCTGACACTGAAAATGATAATAGCAGCAATTATTTATATACTAGAGGCCAGGTGCATGACATTTGTGCACGTGGGGGCGTGGGGGGTCTCTCAGCCTGGCCTGTACCCTTTTGCAGTCCGGGAGCCCTCGGGGGATTCTGACTGACAGAAGTAAGCCGTCAGTTGGACATCCTTAGCGCTGCTGCAGAGCTTGTGGCTGAGTGGTGCTCCCCCTGTGGGAGCGCACTGACCACCAGGGGGCAGCTCCTGCATTGAACGTCTGCCCCCCTGGTGGTCAGTGCACATCATCGTGACCAGTCTATTTGCATATTACCCTTTTATTACATAGGACTAGCTCAGGGGTGGGCAAACTTTTTGACTTGAGGGCCACAATGGGTTCTTAAACTGGACCGGAGGGCCGGAACAAAAGCATGGATGGAGTGTTTGTGTGAACTAATATAAATTCAAAGTAAACATCATTACATAAAAGGGTACGGTCTTTTTTTTTTTAGTTTTATTCATTTCAAACGGGCCGGATCCGGCCCGCGGGCCGTAGTTTGCCCACGGCTGGACTAGCTACTACATGCCAGACATGCATTAATATATTAACTCATTCAATCCTCTCAACTTTATGAGGCAGGTATTATTATCAGGAAACTGAAGCAAGTTTTTTTTATTTTTATTTTATTTTAAAGAGAGAGGAAGGGAAAGGGATAGAGATTACAGAAACATCGATGAGAGAGAAACATCCATCAACCCCCTCCTACACACTCCCGCAACCTGTGCATATGCAAGTTATTTGAAATAAGGCTCCCAGATGTATGCGCTATGTTACCCAACAGAGCAAAAGGCACACTTTTCTGGCGCTTTTCAGTGTCAAAAACATATCATTCATCTTGTCAGACCTCAAGCATGTCACCCTAATACTACCCAACACAATAACTAATGTTAAAGAGTAAGCAAAGCTAATTTATATGTTTTGTTTGTAAAAGCAAAGAGACGTATGATATTTTATGAGTTCCATTTAAAACTGATTTAAAAAACATTGGTACTTGGTAACAAAATTACACTATGAAAGCAGCTAAAATACCCAATAAAGCTCCAGATGGCTAAGATTTTATTATGGCATTTAAAAATCATTAAATTATTTACTTAAAAATCAGTGTGGTCCTAGCTGGTTTGGCTCAGTGGATAAAGCATGGGCCTGCGGACCAAAGGGTCCCAGGTTCGATTCCAGTCAAGGCATGTACATTGGTTGCAGGCCCCTCTCTGGCCCAGGCTCTGGTCATGGCTTGTGCAGGAGGCAACCAATCGATGTGTTTCTCTCACATCGATGTTTCTCTCTGTCTTTCCCTCTCCCTTAAAAAACAAAAAAACAAAAAACTGGAAAAATATCCTTGGGTGAGGATTAACAAAAATAAACAAACAAATCTATAATAACAAAAGCGTAATATGCTAACTAGAACGGACGTCCTCCCGGATGACCTTCCGGATGAAGCCGGGTCTGCGAGGGAAGCCCGGGTCCCAGGTACCAGAGGGAAGCTGGTGCTGGCAGCCAGGGGAAGGAAGGCCTACTCTTGCATGAATTTTGTGCATCGGGCCTCTAGTAAATAAATACAATAAAAAAATCAGTGCGGCTCAAATGGTTGAGTGTTGTCCAGTGCACTGAAAGGTTGCTGGTTTAATTCCCAGTGAGGGCAAACACCCGGTTTGCAGGTTTGTCCCCGGCTGAGGTATGTTCAGGAGGCAACCAATCCATGTTTCTCTCCCTCTCTCCCCACCTCTCACTAAAATCAATAAAAAAATATCCTTGGGAGAGGATTAAATTATAAAAATATTGTTTAAGACCTCCCAAAAATATTATAGCCAAAGAAGGGAGGGAGCAATATCATCATTATGATACAACTGACCTGACACTGTAGCCTTCCCGGAGATGGGGTTAGGTGTGGACACCAGGGACGTGGCACTGATGACAGAGGGAGCAGCAGCCTTGCAGGTTCCCATGGTGGCCTGGCTCACACACACTTGCTGCTGCCCAGCAGTTTTCATTATGGAACCTACAGTGGATGATGAACTGGGAGCTGTTCCTTCTGACTGCTCATCCGCAGGGCCAGATATAACAGAAATACAAAAGAAAGCAGTAACTTATGGAGAACAGTGACGGCCATGCAGCATACTCAATAAATATTATCTATTAGCTATTATGGCCTACTTATTAAATGTAATGCCATTTAGAAAGATTGCTTCTCTAGTTTGGTGGTTCCTACATTTTTAGATTTCATGGGCCAGGAAATTTTTTAAATGAGGCGGTATCACAGGGTGACCACATTTATAAAAGATTTCATTCCTATTTATAGCTGAATCATATTCAATTTTATGGATCTGCCACATTGTATATCTAAATCAATAAGGAAAATAACTCAATTATATAATGGGCAAAGGATCTGAATAGACATTTCTCTAATGGTACATAAATCTTAAAAAAAAACAACAACACAAAAAACCCACAAGAAAAGATACTCAATATCATTAGCTACAGGGAGATGCAAATTAAAACCACAATGAATTACGTGTTCACACCCACTAGACTGGCTATAATTTTAAAAAATGAGTACGAACAAGTGTCAGCAAGGATGTGGAAAAACTGGAAACCTCATACATTGCTGATGAAATCTAAAACGGTGCAGCTGCTTGGAAAAGTTTGGCAGTTCCTTAAAAACTTAAACATAGTTACTAGATGATCTAACAATTCCTTTCCTAGGTATACAGCCAAGAGAAATGAAAATATATTATACAAAAATGTGTACAGAACGTTTATGGCAGCATTATACATTGTAGTCAAAAGGCAGACACAACACAAATGTCTGTCGATTGCTGCTGGGAACAGAGCATTATTTCTCAGGATGGAAAAAAAATGTTCGTAGAATTAGATGGCAATGGTTGCACAACCGTGGGGACATAAGCTAAACCACTAAATTGTACACTTAAAAATGGTGAATTTTAGGACATGTAAATTACATTTCCATTTTAAAAAGAGTAATATGGCCCACTTGTGTGCCTGCTGAGTATCTTGGGTTTTTAGTGCTTTTATGTTTCATTATGATTTTCTATGTTCATGCTAATTCTCACCTGTTGTGCAGGACCGTTTGCTGAGAGGGCCACAGCTGGAGAAGTGGCAGTTGTGATAACCCCTCCTGCTACTCTCAGCATGGTGGTGCCAGGCTTTGAGAGTTGTGAGGTGGCTGGCACAGACTTCAATGTACCATCAGATATTTTCATTAGAGAGGCCTGTCCCCCAGGGGCTGCCTGCAAAAACAATGGGTTGAAGTAATAATATTGCCCTGGTTAACAGGCACAATTCATTCCTTACTCACAGATGCCTGTAGAATTAGAGCATGTCCAAGAAACTCTTGCTGATGAAAACTATGGGAAGTGTTTGTGCAAATTCTCAAGTTTATGACCTTGTACCTACAAATGTTCCTTTACCCCTAATATAGAACAAGTAAATGAATGCAATTGCAAGCTACTATTTGGCAGCAGTGTCTTCAGAGACACCAGGTCATTTGTTATTAAAATAATTGAGTCCAAAGTGCTCTTAAATATAATCTTTAAACATAAAAATTGAACTGAGAGGGCCAGATTTAAATCGGTAAATTAATGGTGCTTTAGGCTAGTACAGGATTAGCATTTAGTCCTGGAGAATCATTCAACAACTTATACTTTTAACAGTTTAAAGCAAGGCTCAGCAACAGCATGAGTGAGCATGTCAGGCCATAAGATCTCTGTTGCAACTCCTCAACTCTACTTCTATAGCATTAAATGGGTGTGGCTGTGTCACAATAAAATGTTATTTATAAAAATAGGAAGCTTTTTGCCGAAACCTGTTTGGCTCAGTGGATAGAGCGTCGGCCTGCGGACTGAAGGGTTCCGGGTTCGATTCCGGTCAAGGGCATGTACCTGGGTTGCGGGCACATCCCCAGTGGGAGATGTGCAGGAGGCAGCTGATCGATGTTTCTCTCTCATCGCTGTTTCTAACTCTCTATCTCTCTCCCTTCCTCTCTGTAAAAAATCAATAAAATATATCAAAAAAAAAAAAAATAGGAAGCTTTGGGTGTAATTTGCTGACCCCTGGTCTAAATGATTGCTTTGTGCCCCAGATTAATGCATCCTACAAATCATACCATTTTTCAGTCTCTGTGGGCATACTATGTCATTACATATGTCATTTACTTATCTTATATCATTTAATCTTTTCATAAACTTTATAGGGTAGATTTTAGTCCCACTTTAAGATGAAAGATCAGCTCAAGGACTACCAGGGTCACACAGCTAATAACTGAAGGAGCCACGATTAGAATCCAGGAGCAGCAGCCACAGCACAATTTGCATTAGAGTCTTACACACTGAGTATCATTTCACAGTCACAAAAATGACTAAAATTAAAAAGAATGATGATCTTTTTGGCTTATATTAAAAAGTGCCGTGGAAACGTGCACTAAACTCCCTGCAGCGTTCACTTCCTGTGTGGATAGTGTGGCTGAAATCATCTCTCAGTATTTAGCATCTCCTGCATGAAGTCCCACCAGAGAAATATTAGAATGAAATGTCAAGAAAATGTTTGTTTCTTCCAGGAAATATTATGTGGTTAGTTTTTTTCTCTCACAAATAGTGTAAACTTTATGACTGATAATGCTTCTTGCTGTGGTTTGGCAAATTTTATTAACTATATAGGACATTACTATTTGTAGATCTAAATAACTCAGGCTTTATCTTCTCATTCTACATAAGTTTTCCCAAATCTCAAGATTTTATTCTTATTTTTTCTATACTACTTTATTGTTCATTTTCTCATGTAACCTTAATTTCTTTGTGGAAAGAATAAGATGTAAATTTGTAAATAAATGCCACAATCACCATGTATTTGTGTGTGTATGTGTGTGTGTGTACTTACCTGGGTAAACAAAGTGGTTTTTTGTCCAGAGATGACTTTCAATGTTTGTTGTCCTTGAGCGGAAGATGTGCTGACTCCCAGTGTACCTTGGACCACTGACCCAGTAGTCAGCTGTTTTCCAGATGTCTGGGGTGATGGCTGGCCAACTAAAAATGTGCCCTAAGTTAGAAAAAATAAAGACCGAATCAGTAACTTGTTAAATTCAAATAACTTCCTCTGATCCTTTAAATCACAAGGTTCCATGTTACAAGCTACAATGCTCTCTTATTCTGCAACTCAGCCAAAATAACTGAGAAAATAGTGCTCGGTGTCATTACCAACAGTTATCCTACTTCTCAAACTGTGCACAGTAGTTACAGAGCAGGTGTGGGAAACTCATGCAATCTAGTCCTGAAAGCTGGATTTAATCATTCAGAATGATTACTACCCATCCCTCTCAATAAAAATGTCTGGAATTAAAATTCCACTACTTTCCTTAGAGGAGAGCCAAGACTTCGTGACAAGGGGAAGAAGGGAGAAACCCGGTCCTCATCTTGAATCCAACCTAACTCCAACTACCACAGTCTGATAGCATCTCTTTGGTTACTCCTTTCTGAGAGAACATTTTAAACTGCACATTAAGACTGTTTATTACCTCATGGATTTGGGAAGCATTAACAGAGTGAAAATCTTTCTTTGTGTCAGAAAGATCTGGATTTAAATCCAAAGCCTGCACTGGCTTAGCAGAGAAGCTTTGAATAAGTTACTTAAGTCTTTCTGAATCTCTACTCCCTCTTCTCTCAAAACAAAATATAGATTTGTAACATTTATAACAATCTAAGGGCCTGGTGCATGAAATTCGTGCATGGGTAGGGTCCCTAGGCCTGGCCAGCGATCACGGCCAATTGGGGCCTTCCTTCGTTCCGTGCCGCCCCCTGGTGGTCAGCGCCCGTCATAGCGAGCAGTCGAACTCCTGGTCAGTGGAACTCCCAAGGGGACAATTTACATATAAGCCTTTTATTATATAGGATAGTATAGATTTATTACACAGCTAAAATGTCAGTTTTTGACTCCTGACCCCAGAGCTGTAATGGAAAATCCAGTATAGCTAAAAGCAGTTATTAAATAACAGAATGATTTAAAAGACACCAGTCATAATGAGTAGACCTGAGGCGTTTGCTTGAGGATGTAAGATGTGTAGGTCAGGTGCTGGGATATCCCTCCAGGCCCAGCGGGGCTTTGGACTCCTCCTGTTCCTCCCCCTCCTCCACTGCTGCCACCTCCGCTGCTGCTGCCTCCAGCACCACCAGCACTACTGGCAGCTGAGCCGGACTGTAGGTCTGCAAATACAATGAATGACAGCAACATTACAAAAAGTATCAAGAAGCTTAACAGAAAAACAGGTGAGCCCAGAGATATTTCCTTTACAGCACCATTCCCTCCCTTCCCTATTTTTCTTCTTCTTTCTCTGACAAGAGTGAGAACTTCCTAGAATTGAAGAGTGACATCTATTTACTTTCAACTGCATGACATTTGACTAGTACAGCTCTGAGTACAATGAAGAACTTACCTTTGACAACTGTTTGACTTAGTTGTGGAAGAGCATGAGAAAGTCTGATACTGACATTTTCTAACTATTTTTAAAAAAATATATTTTTATTGATTTCAGAGAGAAAGGGAGAGATAGAAACATCAACAATGAGAAGCATCAATTGGCTGCCTCCTGCACGCCCCCTATAGGGGATTGAGCCAGCAACCTGAGCATGTGCCCGGATTAGAAATCTAACTGTGACCTCCTGGTTCATAGGTTGATGCTCAACCACTGATTGATTTTAATCAACACTTCAATGTACTCAATGACATGCTTCCAAACTTTTTGGCACCTGATTCAATTTCAGTGGAACTGCTACAATTTAGTGTGATTTTACAGTACTCTCTCTTTCTATCCCTCTGGAAAACATTAAGACTTTCTTCATATTTACGATGATTTGAGGGTCCCATTCTTTTTTTTTTTTTTAATATATTTTTATTGATTTCAGAGAGGAAGGAAAAGAGAGAGAGAGAGAGAGAGAGAGAGAGAGAGAGAGAGAGAGAGAGAAACATCCACGATGAGAGAGAATCATGGATCGGCTGCCTCCTGCAAGTCCCCCACTAGGGATCGAGCCCACAACCTGGGCAGGTGCCCTTGACCGGAATCGAACCTGGGACCTTTCAGTTCCCAGGCTGATGCTCTATCCACTAAGCCAAACCGGCTAGGGCAGGGTCCCATTCTTTTTAGCTCTTCAAATTCCACTTTAAAGCCTATGGACCCTTTTTACTTCCCTTTGGATAACATACTGTACATTAACTAACATCTAAGTAACTGATGAATTATGGAATAAAGAAAAAAATTGGGTATGAAGAAAAAAATACCAGGTTAAGAGACTGGAAATCACCCATTAGACACAATAAACAAAATGGTGATTAGCTCACACACACTGCATTTTGGCAGGAGTGGCTAATTTCTAATGAACTTGATTGCTGTTCTAATTGTATTTCTGATTCAGAGGGAAGTAGTCCCTTTGACCTTTCCCTTTACAACACTACTCAAATTGTTTTTCTCTGTATGTCAAAGCAGTTTATGTAAGTCTGATACACCACTTAATTCCTTGGGGCTTTAAGACATATATTTAGGCTGAACCAGTATTTCTCTTTCCATCTCCAAACCTAGCACACTTAAGAAGCATATCTGAACAATGGCAAGTGGAGACTCTTGATCCAAGTCCTATTCCTGTCTCCTTTAAAATAGAAATAGCTTCCAGCTACTGGAAGTATAGAACTTCTCCCCAGGTATCACCTGTTGTCAGTTACCTCTGAAAGGAAGACCTTCCTTCAATTACAGTTCACACAGACAGCTTTCTCCCAGCACAGCCTCAAGAGCCATACCTCTTCAGTGTAATCCGGCCCTGATCCCAAACGCTGAGTAGATAGGCCCAAAATAATAGTGCCACCTTGTAAGATTATGATTACTTAAAGCCAATTCTAGTTAAATTATGCACATGTTTTAAGTGCATTTGGGCAAATACTACCATATGCCACCAAAGCTATGGAAATGCTTCCTGAAACAGGTAAAAACTAAGCCTCAGGTGGATGAGATGAACATACCCAGAGACCCAAGAACCAAACGAGTTAATGATGGACTAACTAGCACTGTTGGTGGCTCGCAGGATGGCTCCTTGAGGGATGAGCAGCAGTTTTCCTTTTCCTGAAGGGTTCTTGCTGTTTGTTGTAAGGTAAAGTTTAGTGCCAGGTGGCAAATTTGCCAAGTTGGCCAAGTTAGTGGCTGGTAGCTGCAATGTTGCCATTACTAAAATGATAAAGAAGAAAAAGAGAAGAAAGACAGTAAGATAAAATGGAACTTAGGGCAATACCAACTCTAAAATTAAAACACAGAATAAAATACTTATTAAAAAGAGGTAACAAAAAGTAAACTCTAAAGTTTGTTTTCAGATACACAATGCTTTAAAGGCAGATGTTCTTAAATATCATGCCTTCACTGAAACAACACATCAAAGCCTAGGACACATGCAAATGTTTAATATCTCAAAATGCTGCAATGACTGAACAAAGTTTTAAGTATGAAATACAATCCAAAGTGGAAATGAGGACAAATGAGAATTATTCTTCAAACCTAAAAGCAGTATCATAAGAAACAAGCTGTATTTTTATTATTACTGCTAACACACACACACACACACACACACACACACACACACACCTTACTAGGTTTTCTAGACAGAACCAAGTATCAAATAAAATCACTAGCAAAGAACATTTTGGTAGGCACTGCTGCTGAGTACCCCCAAACAGTATTAGTTACCTGAACCCTGGGATCCACTCTTCTGAGGGCCAGCAGCAGTGACCTGGGCCTTGGTTAAGGTTTGCACTGGCTGAGCGACAATGGTTCCTCCACCTCCACTCACAATTGCTTTGGCAACTCCTTGGGTCACAACTTGCTTTGGACCAACTGCTTTGGCAACGGTAGAGCTGGCCTTGGCTACGAGGATTTGGCCACCACTGATTGCCACAGCCTGTTTCACTGTTGAAGGTAAAGTAGACCCAACTGGCACCCCAACAACCTGTTCAAAACAGAGGAAAGTCCAGCAGTGCTTCTTCTCAAAGTCCTTCAAGAGCACTTAGAACAGAATAGTCACTGTGTACTAGCAAAGAACAAAGCACTGTTCTACATACAGTACTTGGGGTCTAATCCAATGTAGCAAGGCAACCTATGATAGATGCGAACAGCAATATTTCTTACAATTTGAAAATTATTACAATAAGAGGTTATAATTTTTCTCTTAACCCCTGCTACTATTAGTTGTTTTAATAATACAAATATGTGTTTTCATAGAAAATACAGAAGTGTAAGAAAAAATCCTACTCATTCAGAAAAAAACCCTCTCAATATTTAGTGAATTGACTTCTAATTCTTTTTAATATTCATTTTAAATCAGATTAGGATCACACATAATTTTTAATTCTTCATCATATCACAAGCCTTTAGCAGTTATTGTTTTTTAAATACATTTTTAGATAACCAAGTAATAATATAATAGAATTGATATACCATAATGTATGTAAACATTTCATAACTGCACGGATATTTAGGTAATTCTAAACTTTACATTATGAAAAACTGTGCAATAAACATTCTGATATATGAACTATAAACTCCACTATGAAAATGTAAATATCACCTCATTTTTTTTAAATAACCCTATATATATATTTTTTAAAAAATATATTTTTATTGATTTCAGAGAGGAAGGGAGAGGGGGAGAGAGAGATAGAAACATCAATAATGAGAGAGAATCACTGATCGGTTGTCTCCTCCATGCTCCCTACTGGGGATCGAGCCTGCTACCCGGGTATGTGCCCTTGACCAGAATTGAACCTGGACCCTTCAGTCTGCAGATCAATGCTTTATCCACTGAACCAAACTGGCTAGGGCAATTATCACCTTTTCCGTAACCCCTTCTATATTAACTCTATCTGAAACTATTATTTCTTTATCTCTAGAACTCCTTCCTAACAATGATGTCACCTCTTCCAACTGATTTTTTTTCTTTCAACTGATTTTTAAGAAGCCATCTCTTCCTATATACTTCTAATCTTTCCTAAAGATAGACATTTGGTTAAAAATGGAAAACTGTAAACAAAAAGAATATTTAAATGCCTTTTTAAAAAAAGACCCCAGTACCCAAATTATGAACATTAGAAATATCTGGTTCTGGAAATACTATAGAGTGAACTCTTTCAAAGTGAGAAAATACTTCAGAGCTCTTTTAAGACAAAACTGTAGGATGCTCAATTAGAAGACACAATTTATTTCATAAAAAGACCTTCTCACCAGAATCTAGATGAAAACATTTTTACAAGAATGGCAAAAGATCTGCCTTCAAAAGGCAAAAAAGAAAATAGAAAGTACTTTTACCCATCAGATTGGAGGGGAAATTTTTAAAGTCTGATAACACCAAGAATTGGCTGGAGGATATGAAGAAACAGGAGCTTTTGTTCACTGCTTGTTTAAGTATATCTGTACAGCCACTCAGAGAGGTACTGGCATCTCTAATAAAACTGAGAATTCACACAAAACATATTGTAGCAATTTTACTTTTAAGAATATAGTTGGCCCCTGAACATAGGCATCTGGGATACCATTACCCCCACAGTAAAAAAAATCCAAGTATAACTTTTGTCTCCACCAAAACTTAACTGCATCAGGTATCCCTCATTATCTATAGGGGCTGGTTTCAGGAACCCCTGCAGATACCAAAATCCACGGATGCTCAAGTCCCCCATATAAAATAGTGTAGCTCAAAGGATACAGTCAGCCCTCTGCATCTGTGGACTCCCAACCACAGATCAAAGAGTACAGGTATTTCTTGAAAAAAATGTGTGAATATGTGGACCTGCACAGTTCAAACCTATTTGTTCAAGGGTCAACTGTATCTTTTATGTAAATCTTCAAACACACAAACATTACATGTTATTTATAGCTATGTGTTTTTACATAATAAAAGTATGGACTGAGAAATTACACATTCAAATTCATGATAGTGTTGCTTTTGGAAAGAACAAAGTGGACTTCACCTTTATCAATCATGTTTTATTTGGAGAAAAAATGATTTAAATTAAATATGAGCATGTTAATTTAGGGTGGAGGATATGTGAGTAATGACTATATTATTCTCTATTTTAAAGAATTCTAGGGAGAAAACCAAGATGGCGGCATAGGTAAACACTGGAGATTGCTGCCTCGCACAACCACTTCAAAAATACAACTAAAAGACATAACGGACATCATCCAGAACCACAGGAAGGCTGGCTGAGTGGAATTTCTACAACTAGAAGGAAAGAGAAAAGCATACCAAGACTCAGAGGAGGTGTGGTGCTGAAGTAAATACAAAGGTGTGGAGGTGCATGTGGAGAGGGCTGGCGGCTGAGGACACGACTGTCTTTTTCAATCGGGAGGGAGTCTCAGGCTCTGAGCTCCAGTTCCGGGCAAGTCTCTGGAGCCCAAACTCATACAGGAGAAACGGGACTGTCTGGCATCGGTTGGAACTCGAGGGCAGCTTTCTCTCGGAGGCACTCTCGGCGATTGCCAGGACCTCTGAAGGCAGGATTGAGAGCAGCCATACTACTGGCTCGCTCGGCCCGCCCTGTTGATCCCCTGGGACCCCGCCCCACCCAAGCCGTGCAAGGAGGCTTTTGCATATGAAAGGCCAGGCCCTTTGTAATCTGAAAATAACTTAATAAACTGCAGCTGCCCCAATGCCCCAGGGCAACTTGCATTGCTTTACAGCTGGCTTCTGCTGGGTAGCCTCAGGCAAAGGCTAAATTAGCACCTCCTTAGATCCAAGAGCCAGTGTACCCAGTGGTCAGAGTGGGACCATCCAGATTACAACTCCTCAGATCCATAAGGGACACACTCAGGGGGCAGACTCAGTGAGCACCAAAGCCCCACTGAAGCAAGTCTTGCCCCAGAAGGGTGTCTCCAGCACAGAAGTTCTCCCACTGCAGACACAGCTGATTCTCACAGCCAATTGGCCTGGAGGTCAAATCCTCCCAGTTTTACCTATAACAATCAAGGCTTAACTACAACAAGACTGTGCACAAAGCCCACAAGGGGGTGCACCAAGAGTGTCTACCTCAGGTAATTGGGACACTTAGCACAGAAAGCCACTCTATCGACACAGCGAATCATAAAAAATGCCGAGACAAAGAAACAGGACACAAATGACAGAAATGGAGGAAAGCAAACTACTGGATATAGAGTTCAAAACCACACTTTTTAGGTTTTCCAAGAATTTTCTAGAAACCGCCAATAAATGTAGTGAGATCCTCAAGAAATCTAGTGAGACCCTCGAGGTTGTGATAAAGGACCAACTAGAAATTAAGCATACACTGACTGAAATAAAGAATATTATACAGACTCCCAACTGCAGACCAGAGGATCGCAAGAATCAAGTCAAAGATTTGAAATACGAAGAAGCAAAAAACACCCAACCGGAAAAGCAAAATGAAAAATGAATCTAAAAATACGAAGATAGTGTAAGGAGCCTCTGGGACAGCTTCAAGTGTACCAACATCCGAATTATAGGGGTGCCAGAAGAAGAGAGAGGGCAAGATATTGAAAACCTATTTGAAGAAATAATGACAGAAAACTTCCCCTACCTGGTGAAAGAAATAGACTTCCAAGTCCAGGAAGTGCAGAGAACCCCAAACAAAAGGAATCCAAAGAGGACCACACCAAGACACGTCATAATTAAAATGCCAAGAGCAAAAGACAAAGAGAGTATCCTAAAAGCAGCAAGAGAAAGAAAATCAGTTACCTACAAGGGAGTACCCATACGACTGTCAGCTGATTTCTCAACAGAAACTTTGCAGGCCAGAAGGGAGTGGCAAGAAATATTCAAAGTGATGAATACCAAGAACCTACAACCAAGATTACTTTATCCAGCAAAGCTATCATTCAGAATTGAAGGTCAGATAAAGAGCTTCACAGATAAGGAAAAGCTAAAGGAGTTCATCACCACCAAACCAGTATTATATGAAATGCTGAAAGGTATCCTTTAAGAAGAGGAAGAAGAAGAAAAAGGTAAAGATACAAATTATGAACAACAAATACACATCTATCAACAAGTGAATCTAAAAATCAAGTGAATAAATAATCTGATGAATAGTATGAACTGGTGATTATAATAGAATCAGGGACATAGAAAGGGAATGGACTGACTATTCTTGGGGGGGAAAGGGGTGTGGGGGGTGCGGGGGGTGCGGGAAGAGATTGGACAATAATCGTGCACCTATGGATGAGGACAGTGGGTGGGGAGTGAGGGCGGAGGGTGGGGTGGGAACTGGGTGGAGGGGAGTTATGGTGGGAAAAAAGAAGAACCAATGTAATAATCTGAACAATAAAGATTTAATTAAAAAAAATAAATAAAATGTTAGCTCCTACTACATAGCAAGAATGAATGAATGAATGAATGAATGAATAAATAAATAAATAAATAAATAAGAATGAGTTAAGTCTGGCATTCCACTGGGGGGAATCCTACACACAGCTGTCTATGGACACCACAAGGAAGGCTCTTAAGTAGGACACTATAACCCCAAATTAGCTTTGCCTTTTTTTTTTCTTTTAAACAATACAACATTTTGGCCTAAAACCTTCTCTATAAAACCTTCTCTATATTCCTAATTTCCTTCTAGTTTTACAAGGCAGACACCCTTTGTTCTGTATTGTTATAAATATATGAGAGGCCGGGTGCACAATATTCGTGCACTGGGTTGGGAGGGGAGGTCTGGGACCCCTTGCTCCTTACTGCTCTCCTGCTCGCTGCTCCTTACAGCTCAATTTGTTGCTCCTTAGCTCAATTTGTTGCTCCTGCTGCCACAGCTGCTGCACTCACCAGCCATGAGCCCGGCTTCTGGCTGAGTGGTGCTCCCCTGTGGGAGCACACTGACCACCAGGGGGCAGCTCCTGCATCGAGCATCTGCCCCCTGGTGGTCAGTGCACATCATAGTGACTGGTTGTTCTGGTTGTTCCGCCATAATGGTCGCTTAGGCTTTTATTATATAGATCATTTTGATGCAATGTTTCTATTTCTGCCTTTCCTGCGCCCTTTACAGACCTTTGCAAGTCAGCAAGATTCTGTATATGCTTTTTTACTATCTATACTGCTTAACTCCCACATGAACCCACTAATTCTTGCCCCCTTGCATGTCAAAAGCAGTACCTCTCTCTACTCTCATGAATATGATATGCTATGTTTTTATTGTGCTGAAGTTGTATTGAAGGTAAAACAACACCATTTGGTTCACCCTTCTGTTTTCCAGCAGTTTCTACAAATGCACTTCAGCAATAACCAGGGTGTACTTGTAGATAGCTCCTGATCTCGAGTCCAAAGCATGACTTAAACTTCCTGGATGAACAGTGATGTCTTTCCTCATGCTCCTACTGCTCCTTTGCAGTTCTTTCACATTCTTCTGTGGCTTTCTTTTCAGGTGCCCTTAAATTTTATTCAGGGCATTCTAGCACAAACCCATCCACTCCCTCTCAGTTGTCATTGCCATTAGGTAGGCAGCAATGTGACAAAAAAGCCAGTAGAGCATTACTGGATAAGTGGATTTGCAAAATCCACTAGCTTATCCTGAGCATAAACAGAAATGCTGTATTAATTCAAAAACCTAAATCAGTAATACCATACATCTCCAGGTGAAGTAAAATAGATTTTGAAGAACATATAGGAAGTAACTGAGTAGGAAGTCCTCATGGCAATAATTTGCTCACTTAAGAACATTGACAAAATGCTTGTCCCTGACCAAACAACAGAGGGAGATTAGGATGCAATTGAGGCACCTGTCTTAGTGATTCGGGCTATAGAAGCCACAAAGTCAAATTTGATGCTGCAGCTCAGTGGTTCCTAAATTTGCCTAATCGTGAGTCAGTAGGGGAGCTTTTTAAAAATCCAGATTCCCAGGGCCCCCAAGAAGATTCTGATTCAGTAAGTTTGAGATAGGGGCCTACGCGTTTATGTTTTTAAATCAGCAGACAATTCTTATGACCAGATAAGTTTGGGAAAGTAGGTAACAGACTCTTACAGATTTTAGAACCACTTATGTAACACTATACATTTTTAAAAAAAATATATTTTTATTGATTTCCAAGATGGAGAGGGAGTAAGAGATAGAAACATCAATGATGAGAGAGAATCATTGATTGTCTGCCTCCTGCAGGGCACACACTGGGGATTGAGCCTGAAACCCTGGCATGTGACTGGAAATCCAAGTGTGACCTCCTGGTTCATAGGTCAATGCTCAACCACTGAGCCTCGCCGGCTGGGCAACACTATAAATTTTTATCTCGATCCCTCTGTAGCTATGTAGTCTAACCAAAATATCTAAAACCTTTTTCTACTTTAAAGTATTCCTCTAAAACAATTCACTCTCCCTAGACAGGCTGGCTCTCAAGTTGAAAAGCAAACACTTCACATAATATTCTCAAGAGCTTTAGAATATATCTGCCCTAAAAGTGAGATAATTTAATTCTGGATGTTCTAAAAGCATGTTTAGGTTATGTCTCGCAAATTTTAATTAGTTCTGGAATAAGGAGTCTTGGAGTCAACAGACTTGGGTTCAAATCCTGTTACTTATTAACTATAAAACATGAATCTATGTGCAATTTTACAGTTCTCCCAACACATAATTCCCCACACCTCCATATTGTAAAGAAAGGAAACTCTCGAAAGAGCCAAGAATTATTAAACAGATCACACAGCGTGGACATCAGAGGTATAAACTATGCACTTTCCTATCAGAAATAACAAAGTACAACAGTAGACCTTGGTCCTGTCGGTTACCCACTTTAGACTGAATCCTGTGGAAAGCTGTGCTCAGGAAGTCAATCACCCTCACTGCCAGAGATGACGTTGTGCCCTGTGCCTGGCTGTTCTAGGACCCTCTATAAGACATGCCCTTCCCTGGTCAATGGTTAAAGAGCAGATGGACTGCACGTTGACTAACTTGCTTTTCCAGTGGGGCTTTCATCTACAGGCTTTTCTGGGATCAGCAACCCTGTCACCCTGTATCTTTTCAGCACTTGTCAATTATTTAGACAAAGAATGGCCATACTTGTTACCTCCCCATCCCTACCCAACACAAACCTTGGAGGGCTGAATCTTTGGTGACTGGGCAGTCCCTTCTCCAGCAGCTATGACCTGTTTTTGAGGGGACACAGCTATCATGTGACCCCCTTTCACAGTCACATACTGGGGGAGTGGTGACTGGCTGGCAGCTCCAGTTGTGGGCACGTGAGAGGCGTCGCCAGGTTCCTGTTTGATGATTACCTTGCAACAAATATGATAATGATACTGAATAAACATCCCAAGAAAAGAGCTACTAATATCTGAATCTATTCTGTTCACAGGAATGAATAAATTAATGAAGCCTGGTCTGTAAAGAATGGCTCCACCAGAAGAGTAAAACCACGGCTTAAAGGTAGCCCATAACAGCTACTAAAGGGACAAAGCAGGATCTGGATTTGATCCTGTGTATCTGCAAACTCAACCTGCTCGTTTGTTTTAGATACTGGCACACTGGCAGCAGAGAGAAACACACCGTGCTCCCTGAAGTTGCCATCTCCCTGGGCTCCAAGGGCTGCCCTGTGGACACCACTGAATAAACGGAAGCATGTCTCCAAAATAAGATCTGGTCTTAGAACTGAGGCTGATTAAAAAGTTACATGTTGTGAGGTAGCGTCAACCAACTCCAACATGCCACAAAAAAGACTATGTAAGACCATACTGACTTGCAGGATGATCCCTGAAAAAATACTCACTTTTGTGAAAGCTCCAAGTCCTCCAGTTATAGGTTTGGGGCTTTGAACCTTAGGGTGACTCCCAATTGGGCAAAGAGGCGGCATAGATGCAAACAAAGAATCCTCCTGCTGTGAATGTAAAAATACATATTGTACAATTAAGATAAAATGAGTGACTTTAGATACTTTATAGTCATATTTAATACAAATCTGTAACATTCTCTAGCACGATAAACAACTAAAAACCAAACCAAAACAGAAAGCCCAAAACTCTTTGGGGTCTTCTAAGCCTCAACACCTGCATTTTAATATATTTTATTGATTTTTTACAGAGAGGAAGGGAGAGAGATAGAGAGTTAGAAACATCGATGAGAGAGAAACATCGATCAGCTGCCTCCTGCACATCTCCCACTGGGGATGTGCCCGCAACCCAGGTACATGCCCTTGACCGGAATCGAACCCGGGACCCTTGAGTCTGCAGGCCGACGCTCTATCCACTGAGCCAAACCGGTTTCGGCAACACCTGCATTTTAATATTATTTTAGAAACCACATTCGCCTGGCTGGTGTGGCTCAGTGGTTGAGCATTGACCTATAAACCAGGAGGTCACGGTTCGAATCCCGGTCAGGGCACATCCCCGGGTTGAGGGCTCAATCCCCAGTGAGGGGCATGCAGGAGGCAGCTGATCAATGATACCCTCTCATCATTGATGTTTCTCTCTCTTTCTCCCTCTCCCTTCCTCTCTGAAATCAATAAAAATATATTTAAAAAGGAAACCAAATGCAAAGCAAGACTAGTAACTTGGCAGGAAGCTACTCATCTGTGCCCCACTGTATGCTAGAAGATGCCTATCATACTACCTCTCACATTTGGTCAACTCACTGGATTCTGGGTCTAGTCTCCTGCCAAATGGTAAGCTAGTAAAGGACAGGCACTATGTTTTATTTTTTTTCTATCCCTAGAGCCTAGGCACTAAATAAATGAATGAAACAGCAGTCAGTGCTTCAGCATATCCTTTTTATAATACTCACAACTTGACTTGTTGTCTGTACTCAGAATAAATACCCAGGACACGGAAATTTTTCAAAAAACATTTAAAAAACAAAACAACAAAAAGAAGTTGAACAAATAGCAACTGTAAAGACAGCAAAAGTCAACATTTAAAATACTGTCATTTGTCTCCAATTCTCAAATGCAAAATGCAAATCTCAGAGTCAATTTGTCATAAATAAATGTTAGGGGCAAGAAACAAAATTATTACAATTCAGACATTTGTATAAACACAGTGCTCACACATTACACTGAATTTAGAGAAAAACCTTGCCCTGGACCAGGAAACTATTCAATATCATCACCATTAAATTCTTACACTTAGTCATGTAAGAGATGATCTTTGAATTCTTGGCAATGCTCACACAGGAGTTTATACCTCAAAAACTCTAGCCTTAAGACAGCCATGACAATGACAAATAAGTTGAATAACTAACCAAACAGCAAGAATTGTCTTTGCCAAACAGTGAACAGATAGCTAGCACTTTGATCTGAGTAAGTCAGATAACATTTGGAATTCCAAATTTCAAAGGACTTATTCCCTGAAAAATAAAAGAATAAATTTTGGAAAGATGAATTATTTTCAAGTAACTAAATGGCTGACATGTGGAAAAGAAAATATATTTACTTCTTGCTGGTGCAAATATAGGAAAAAAGGATGTTTTGCCAGATGAATATTTTTTTAAAAATATATTTTATTGATTTTTTACAGAGAGGAAGGGAGAGGGAAAGAGAGTTAGATATATCAGCTGCCTCCTGCACACCCCCCACTGGGGATGTGCCTGCAACCAAGGTACATGCCCTTGACCGGAATCGAACCCGGGACCCTTCAGTCCGCAGGCCAACGCTCTATCCACTGAGCCAAACCAGTCAGGGGAGATGAATATTTTTATAAGGAAAAATTTATAACAAAGCTGCCCCCTTCCACCCAAAAAACAGGCTGCCTCACCATAGTAAGTTTTCAAATAGATACTGGGTAACCAATTAGCAGAGTGTTGAGAAACATTTTCTACACAAGGAAAAGATCAAGGAAAGGTACAGAAGTCTGGAGTAAGATGATCTTCAAGATACTTATTAGCCTGAAGGTTTTACTTTATGAACTTTGCAATATCAATTAACAAATTACTGTTGAACTCAAACACACTATCTTTAAAACTAGCGAAGTGCAGTAATGTAATAGAAGGTTACCTTGACAGTAGATGTTACAAAACTACTTCCATGAATTTTAGGAATAGGGGAACCTGTTCCTTGGGAGGCTTGAGAGGCAGTAGAGAGCTTGTTTGTAGGACTTCCTGTAAGCAAAGCAGATTTAAAAGTTAAGTATAAACAAAATAAAATTTGCAAAATGGAACTTTAAAGCATTTTCCACCACCCTTCTTTTCCTCACTATTTAGTTTTCATCTTTAAGGGTTGAAAAACCTACAACCTTGAAACTGTTACAGAAGAAACACTTAAGGATTCATCCTACAAAGGTGACCACTTCACCAATCTGAAAAGGGACAAGAAGCTTGTAAGAATGTGTAGAATAAGTAAAGTAGTTTTACTGTATAAAAAGATAAAAAGATACTATAACATAATGGAATTGGTTATTTAACAATGAGCCAAAATGTATTCATTCAAGTGAATGCGAGCTCCTTCAAAGTAGTTTTACTAGAAGGAATACCTATTTGAAAATCCTGCCAACATTAAACATTTTATACTCCATCTGTACAACTGACTTTAGGGTCTGATGAAAATCACTTACATTATCTACAGTCAAAAATAAGTCAAGCCCGGCTGACGTGGCTCAGTGGTTGAGCATCGACCTATGAACCAGGAGGTCACAGTTAGATTCCCGGTCAGGGCACATGCTTAGGTTGTGGGCTGGATCCCCAGTGTGAGGCATGTGGGAAGCAGCCAATCAATGATTCTCATCACTGATGTTTCTCTCTCTCCTTCCTTCCTCTCTGAAATCAATAAAAATATATTAAAAAAAAAAAAAAAAGTCAAGACCCAAAATGGTATTTGGTCACCTACCCATTTACCAAACTTGTCTGCAAAGACGTTTGGCTGATTGCTAAAACTAAGTATCCTCAAAGCACACCTACTTGGCATCCCTAATTATATTCAAAAGGCTCTTAGGTAATTTCTGAAAGTAGCATTTTTTTAAAGGAGTTCCACAATTACAATCACTGTTAAAGGAACCAACTTTTCCAAAAACCTACCTGAAATGGCCCAACACACATTCACGTGTTAAAATAAAATATTTGGGGAAGAAAGGTTTCATTACCTTACAACCATCTCTCTTATTTCATTTCTCTTAATTAGGAGTGAAAAACTACAGGAATGTCTCCACTTAGGAGCATGTGTTTAAATATTCTATTTATTGCCTTCAATTAAACTAATGTTAGTGAAAGTACTTAAAAAAAAAAAAAAACCTGAAGAGCAGTCTGTAGTTATATGAGATTATGATGACAAACCTGGTGAATCCAAATCTGTCTTATTCTTCCTATTAGTGTTTTCTTTTTACAATGGTAGGGTACAATTTTCCTCCCAGATGCAAAATTTATCTTATTCACAGAAAAGTAAAGATGACTTTTTTATTTGACTGGGGTGAAATACATATTGCTCACAAAGTTATTCTTGAACTAAAGCTTAATTTAGAAATAACCACATTGCTTGCAGGCCCAAAAAGAATGTCTTCCAAATGAAATAAAATCAACTCTTTCTCTCTTTTTAAATTAATTACGGCTCACTTTTAATCTTTAGAAACTAAAGAGAAAATGTAAGTCAATTCTTAAAAATATAGCTTTTGCCTGGTTGGCGTGGCTCGGTGATTGAGCATCGACCTAGGAACCAGGAAGTCACGGTTTGATTCCTGGTCAGGGCACAATCCCACGATGAGAGCTCGATCCCCAGTGGGGGTTGTGCAGGAGTCAGCCGATCAATGATTCTCTCTCATCATTGATGTTTCTCTCCCTCTCCCTTCCTCTCTCTGAAATCAATAAAGATATATATTTTTAAAAATACAACTTTTACAAAAAGAGTAAATCTTCCTCAGAAAAACAGCACTAGTGTTACTCTTATATATTCCCTCCTCTTGTTTATGGATGGAGATTTCATTTTCCCATTACATGGCTACTAAGTGACACTAGGATTTCATCTTTAAAAAAGATCAAATCTTTTGGATCGCATACATATTGATCAAACACACACCTGTAGTGGGAGTGGTGGCTCCAATAACCTGCCCTGGCTTGTCCATGATAACATAAGGGTTACTAATAACAGAGCTGGCAGTGCCTTGCTTCACATGGACTGGAGTGGAAGTTGGGGTTCGAGGCAATGGTGATGGACTTGGCGTTGATATGGGGGAACCTTTATTAATTCAAAAGAGAAAAAAAATAAACTAAACAAAATATATATATTCAACCCATCTAAGAAGATGCTGGAAGACAGAAAGAAGGGCAGGGCTGCCAGGACAAAGGTGACAAATTGGGAAAAGTGAATGAGACTGTGGATTTCAGGGACTGAGCAGCAGCAGTAGCAGCGGCCTCGGCGTAGCTAAGGCCAGGGACTAGTGTGTTTCACTCTCTACAGCCTTATCTGGTGACCAGCAGCATTAGCATCTGCATCATCTAGGAGCTTGTTAGAAACGGATTCTGAGGTCCTACCCAGACCTACCAAATATAAATCTGTATTTTAACAAGTTCCCCTGTAGGCACATTAAAGTTCAAAAAGCAGTGCTTTACATAACAGCGTGAAACTGTTGAATCACTAGATAATAAATCTCTTAACAACTTGGGCAGGTTGTATTTGAAGACGTTAAAATTAGGGAGGAAATTTGTAAGCGATAAATTGGATTTAGGAACCAGGAGTCTTGATTTGGGATTAATTTCCAATAGGAAAATAAGAAACTCACCCACCCAAAACCAAAGTCTCTGTCAATACTATGTCACAGCCACAATCCAGAGAGATTCATGTTCCCACAGAATATGCTCTAAGGGTGCCAATGTGCCATTAAACGTCCTCTATTGTCTTCTAGTGATCGAATTTGTCATCCCTCAATTTCTCTAAACTTCAAACCAATTTATACATTCAACATCTACCTCTGAAGCAGCAAGTTCCAAAGTGCTTCTAATTGGTAGATAAAATTATACATTCTTTACTTCTCATAAACTTCAAAGACTTGGATCATAGTACTGCTTAGTTTTCTGTTTTTAAAAACAAAGACTCCCTCCTTCCCCTTCATTTAAGTATTATATAGAAACCTCCCAGTGCCTAAATACTTTTACAGACTCTCTTTCAGTCTTTCCTGAGGTGGTTTGGCCAAAAACATAAAGTATAGTCCTACTAAAAGTTTACCTAATATAAATGTGAAATTGTTGTAAGGCAATGGAAATTCAACCTTCCTGATAATAACTGAAATGAGCAATTTTTCTCATGTGGTTAGAGTATAAAAGATATTTCAACTCCAAACTAAAAGGCCTCTACACTTGTTCTATTACTAATTGCTCTGGTTTCCATATATAATCGCAAACCATAATTCCTACTTTAAGTTCAACTACAATCCTAGCAAACATTTTACCTGTGCTGATTCTAGATGAAAATTTGATCTCTCTGAATTTCATTCTTGCTTCATTCAAAAATTGTTTCCACATAGATGACTTTTGTTTTTGCTTCCTGACACCTTTGTTCTGCTAATCAAAAGTGATTAGCTCACTTGTTAAATAAACAAAAACCTTGCTTAGAAGAACTAAAAAAAATTTTTTTAAACCACAGTATTTTGTTTTGTCATTCCAATAACTTTACACACATCAACTTCGCACACATCCTCTGTATACCTGAGACGATCTTGCAGCTCATGGTGATGGGCTGGAAGGATTTCCCAGGTGACTCGGGATTAGGAACCTGGCTCTGTGGCACAATTTTGCAGCTTGATGCTATTGGCTGAAAAGCTGAATTGCCATGAGAACAAAACATAACTTTCTGGGATGTTGTCATTTTGGTGGGTGTTCGTTCCAATGAAGATGGCAAAGAATAAAAGGTAGTATGCCTCTCAGTTTCAGTATTGGCTGGTAATCCTGCTTGAAATGAAACAGGCAAATGATTAAATCGTTAATCTCTTTGCAATAAAATCTTACAACTGTGGGAAAAGAATGAAACAATAAAAATCCCTTATCATTTCAACAATCATTTAAGCCATTTACTAGTAGTACAGTAAATACAATCCACAGTATTTATTATCCCTTTATACATTTTTGGGTGAAGTGTGTTAAAAAATAAATTTCAGGCCTAGCTGGTTTGGCTCAGTGGATAGAGCATCAGCCTGTGGACTGGAGGGTCCTGGGTTCGATTCCATTCAAGGGAAATAAAATAAAAAAATAAATAAGTAAGTAAATTTCAACTGAGTACATTTAAAAATACTTATAATTGATTTCAGAGAGGAAGGGAGAGGAAGAGAGATATAGAAACATCAATGATGAGAGAGAATCATTGATTGGCCGTCTCCTGCACGCCCCCCACTGGGGACCGAGCCCGCAACCCAGGCATGTGCCCTTGGCTGGAATCGAACCTGGAACCCTTCAGTCCACAGGCCAAGGCTCTATCCATTGAGCCAAACCCGCTAGCTAGGGCATCAACTGAGTAAATTTTAAAGCTTTAATTGGCTTTATTCAATGATGCATGAATCAAGCAGCATCCAATGTAGCAGAGAAAAAGCAGCTCTCAGGAGCTGTACAAAATGAAGGACTTTTAGAGGCAGAAGGGACCAGGAGCAAGAAAGTTATTGAGCAAAAAGCAGATCGGCTGTGGTAAGGTCACCTTTCTTAGGGGACAGCAGGGGTCTATCAGGCCAATTACCCATCTAGTGCTGACTAGGGGATTCCTGATTGACTGATTTAACACTCATTTCTGGAAGAGGCTGAAACTATAAGCTTGAATTTGGTGATGTGAGCGTGGCATAGGTGACCACATTTGGAGCTTGTTGTCTTGTTTTTTAACAAATGTGAATATGCCTAGAATCATATTTTGTTAAAAAGTTTCTTTAAAAAATTAGAAAACATATTAACTATAAACAGTATACAAGTTCATTTTGTTCTATTTTTTTTTTTTTTTACAAATTGAAACCTGTTTAAAGGATTCACTTAATCTAATGATGTCCTGTCTTATTAAATGCCCATAAAGAAGATGTAATTGAAATTTAAAGAGGAACAAAAGAATGAAAATATTAACATCATATTAAAATGCAGGCTAAGAGACAAACTAATACCATTTAGAGTCAATTTTATTTCTTGTACATAAGTTATATAAGTGAATACTTAATACTTAAACATTTATTGACGATGAATCTTATATTTTAAATAAGATTAGATATTTATTATTTAAGTTTCTTGTTCACATAATTGGGAACCAGACCAGAATTACAAGAAACTATAATCATCAAGGAATAAAAATTTAATGGTTTTTAACTCAGAAAAAAAATACAATTTTCTTCCACCTGAAGAACTAACAAAATTCAATATATTTCTGTATTTACTACATATAATCATAAAATGGTTTAAAATACATGGTATTTTAATTAATATCTACTACATGCAAGAACTGTAACTCAATGAATTAGTTGCAATTTAATAAAAGGGATTGAGTGCAACGACAGGCTGGAAAGAAACATTAAGATCTATGCTCCATGAGAACTCATGGACATGGACAACAGTGTGGTGACTGCAGAGGGTAAGGGGGGGAGGTGGAGGTGGAAGAGGGCATAGAGGGGATAAGTGGTGATGGGAAAAATTAAATTAAAAAATATATATCTATGCTCCATGATATTGATGATGCTGGACATAATCACATCACAGGGCTGTTCTAGGATGGCTATTTACAGTTTCCCCTTATTGAGCCAATGAGAAGTAGTTTTTCCATTAATGAAAAAGACTGATGCAATTCAAAAATGCAACTTTATTTATCTGCTTGATTTTAATTATGATAAGAGTTCCCTAAGTTGGACTGAAAAGCCTTAAGGTAAAAACAGGGAAATTATCTTTGTCATACTTTTAATGCCTATCTTTTCTCTAATATGGATGTTAAAATATCCACATTCTCCTCCAGTGAGACACATCTACAAACCCAAACTAGAGCAGAAATTCAGTTTTATGATACGCCCCAACCTCTTGAACTTCGTTCGACAAGCCTTACTTTTCTCTGAGTTACCTGTTGTAAAAGGAAGTCTCAAGAGACAAAAGCATTTAACAGAGAGAATGGTTTTATAAAGTTTGTGCTGTAAAATTCAACATTGATACTGCAAAATCAGAACTAATGTTTTGTTAGGGAATCATCCAGTTACAGGAAATGTTAATGAATTCATTTACTTTGGTGAGGAGGAGGAGGCAGGGTCACCTTATTTATCATCAGTGTATCTCACAGTGGAAGAGGTTTTGTTTCTCCCTGCTCAGCTATAATTGAGACTGTGTTCAAGTCCCCTTCCCTAATGCACATATAAGTTTATTATTTGATTTTTCCAATTCACTATTACTTTGATGTTTGGCTCTATTTTATCATGTGGGAAGAATGGTATCTATTCCTTAATAAACAATTTGTCATACTTAAGATTTGTGGCCCTAACTGGTTTGGCTCAGTAGATAGAGCGTCAGCCTGCAGACTAAAGGGTCCCAGGTTCGATTCCAGCCAAGGGCACATGCCTGGGTTGTGGGCACGATCCCCAGTAGGGGGTGTGCAGGAGGCAGCCAATCAATGATTCTCTCTCATCATTGATGTTTCTATCTCTCTCTCCCTCTCCCTTCCTCTCTAAAATCAATTAAAAAAAAAAATTTGTGGCATGGTCTAGTTTGCAACACTGATTTATTCAAGTATGTCCTATAGAGAAACATAGAGCTTTCTGTTGAATCTACAAAAATAGCAATATAACCATAAAAATAAGTAATTTCTATTTTAAAAATTTAATGCTTTTGCTGAAACCGGTTTGGCTCAGTGGATAGAGCGTCAGCCTGCGGACTGAAGGGTCCCAGGTTCGATTCCGGTCAAGGGCATGTACCTGGGTTGCGGGCACATCCCCACTGGGAGATGTGCAGGAGGCAGCTGATCGATGTTTCTCTCTCATCGATGTTTCTAACTCTATCTCTCTCCCTTCCTCTCTGTAAAAGATCAATAAAATATATTTAAAAAATAAAAAATTTAATGCTTTTTAGTGAGTTTTGTATTCTACAAAATGTTAGAACTTAATGAAAAATATTTTCTGAGAAGAGTAGTAAGCATTTTGGTATTTTAATAATACTGGGTAGTAGAGGCAACATGCCTACTTATGGAAAATTTCCTTTTTCTCAGTCTCTGAAGGCAGCAGTTCACTATCATATTATGTAAATGAGAAAAATAAATGTCCCAGGATGACTCCTCCATATAAGGAAAAATACATGAATGTACAAGAAAAAATATATTACCTTTCTCCACAGAGGTATCAGGTACTGCCTCATGTGACTGCTTTATTGGTGAGGAAGCTTTCACTGGGGCTGGAATGGTCAAAGGCAAAGACGGTGGGGCATCAGAGATGTCTGACTCGGAGGACTGAGGGTAAATGGAGTCTTCTCCAAGAGAATGCCGGTGGAGCTCAACATCCACTACCTACAAAATCGGGCAATAATTGGGCTCATGAATTCATCATCAGTGTCCCAGAAAGCCTCAACCCTTCTAAGAACACGGTACTCTAAGAGATGTGACAAATGATTTCTAATCATACTTCAAAGGCAATTTCCATCTCAAGAACTGAAGAATTTTATCCCAGAATATAACCTGTTCTGGTTTAATAGATAATTAGTAATACTAATCATAAAACTGAGGTCTTTCCATTTGTTGTTTCAATGCCTTAGAACACTCTTCCTCCAAATTTTTGCATGTCTGCCTCATTCTCACCAATAGGTCTCAATCCAATGTCGTCTTCTCAGACCTCCCTAACCAACCTAGCTAAAGCAACTCTCTTGTCCCCCAGCTACTCTCTTCTTTATTGCACTTATTTGTAAATGAAACCTTATCTGCTTTTATGCTTACTGTATACCATCTGCCAGTTTTCAACACAACCAAGAATACTTGAGAACAATGGCTATCTTGCGCAGAAATCTGTATCCCCACTACCTAGACCGGTGCCTCGCATATACTCTGTGCTCAAAAAATATCTTCTAATATAACACAAACTATAAATAGCTAATTATAATTATAATGACTACTGCTGATATATCATAAATTCCAAAAAAAAGGTGGGGGGGAGGTGGTAAGAAGAAAAAAAGTGAAGTTGGAGTCTCATACTTCCAGATTTCAAAACTTATAATTACAAAGCTATATTAATTAAAACAGTGTAGTACTGGCATAAAGAAAGACATAGACCATTGGAATAGAATACACCCTCACATGTATGGTCAAATTATTTTTGACAAGGATGCCAAGACCATTCAATGTGAAAAGGACAGTCTTTCACAAAATGGTGCTGAGAAAATTGGATACCCACATGCATTAGAATGAATGTGGATCTTTACCTTACACTATATACAAAAATTAATTCAAAATGCATCAAAGACCTAAAACAATAAAAATCTTAGAAGAAAACATAGGGGCAAAGCTTCGTGACATTGGCTTTGACAATGATTTCTTGGATATGACACAAAAAAACATGTAACAAAAGAAAAAAACATAAATTGAACTATGTCAAAACTAAAAACTTTTGTGCATCAAAGGACATAATCAAGAATGAAAAATTAAAAAAAAAAAGAATGTAAAGATCACGCACATAATGGGAGAAAATATTTATATTTCATATATCTAACAAGAGACTAATACCAAGAATATAGAGAGAACTCCTAAAACTCAACAACAAAAAACCAAACAACCCGATTCAAAAATGGGTAAAGGATTTGAAGACATTTCTCAAAAGAAGATAAACAAATGGCCAATAAGCACATGAAAAGATGTTCAACATCAATTACCATTAGGGAAATATAAACCAAACCCACAATGAAATACCTGGTTACTATAAAAAGGACATAAAACAACAAGTGCTAGAGAATTGGAACCCTTATGCACTGTTGGTAGAAATATAAAATGGTGCTGCTATTAGGGAAAACAGTATGGCAGGTCCTCAAAAAATTAAAAAAAGAATTACAGTATCATCCAGCAATCTGACTGCTGGGTATCTACCCAAAAGAATTAAAAGCAGGGACTAGAACAAACAGACCCACGTTCTTAGTATTCACAATAGCCAAAAGATGTAAGCAACTCAAGTGTTCACAGATAGATAAATGGATAAACACAATGTAGTGTATACATATAATGAAACATTATTCAGCCTTTTTGGGAAGGAAATTCGGACACATCTACCATGTGGATAAATCCTGAAAACATTATGCTAAGTGAAACATGCCAGTTACAAAAAAAAACACTGTACGATACCACTTATATTGCATCTAGTGTAGTCAAATTCAGAGAGAGAGAAAGTAGAAGGGTGAGTGCCAGGAGCTAGAGGCAGAGGAGAATAGAGAATTATTGTAAATTGTTACAGTTTCAGTTTTCCAAAAGGGTGATAGCAATCACTGCACAAAATGTGAGTATATGTAATAATACTTAAATGTATACTTAAAAATAGTAAATTTTATGTGTATTTTTTTCACACTAAAAAATAAATAAATGAGGGGGATATAAAATTTTTCTAAATTTAGCACTCATTTTTTTTCTAACTAAAAATGAAGATCAATTTTCAGTCTATTTGTTCCCAAATAATGCTATAGGGGAAAAAACCTACCGTCTCTGCTCCAAGAGTCTGCAAGCCAGTGTAAGTTCTATCCAGCTATTTAAAGACAAAAGGAAGAGTTAGGTTTCACAAGCTTACTTATAAATATACTAGAGGCCCGTTGCAGGAAGATTCCTGAAAGAATAGGGCTTCCTCGGGCCTATTCCTGCAAGAATAGGGCTTCCTGAGACCGCAGCGAAGCAGAGAAGGGAGCGAAGCCCACCAAGGCGGGCTTCTCTCCCTTCTCCACTGCCTCGTTCCCTCCCTTCGCCACTTAGCCCTCAGCTCCCTCCCTTCTCTGCCACCTGGGCTCTCTCCCTTCTCCGCCGCTTTGCTACTTCGCCAGGTCACGGATCCAAGGCCCAGATCCCCCAGGCAGCGTCGGGCACTACCGGCCCTGCCTCGCCGGGTCAGGGGTCCGGGTCCCGCTGGCAGCGTCGCGCACAGCCGGCCCCGCCTCGCTGGGTCACGGATCCGGGTCTCGGGTCCCGCAGGCAGTGTCGTGCGCTGTCAGCCCTGCCTGCAGTATGCAAATTAGCCATCTTTGTTGGCGGTTAATTTGCATATCATGCTGATTAGCCAATGGGAGGTGTAGTGAAGGTACGGTCAATTACCATGTTTGTCTATTATTAGATAGGATCTTACCTAAAACCTCTTTCACCACAAGTTTTCATACCATAACTACTTTTTCATAATATAAATTCATCACTTCAACAAAAACCCTCTTAATGTTGTGGGGAAGAATTGAGTAAAATTAATATAAACAAACTCAGACATACATGTAGTAATTATACTTTTAATATAAAATATAGACTTCTAACAACCCATTCTAAGGACAATCCAAAAATGGAGGACATTTTACAAAAAAAGATGTTTACTGCAGCATTATCTATAATCACAAAAAATAAAAGCAATATAGGTTTCTCAGCCAGGAATACCCTAATAGTTCTCTTAGTTTGGGAAGTCTAATCTTATGGTGGTGTGCAGAATGAAGACAGATTAGAATTAAAGAAGCTAATCAGGAAACAATAAAAGGGTTGAATATAAGAAAGACTATGAAGAATAATGGTCTGCAACTAAATGAATATTTAGAACAAAAATGGAAGAAGCAAAGATGGCTCTGAGGGTTGACATAGAAATGACAGGAAAAATGATACTCTAGTACAAATAAAAATCACATGGTCACAATACAGGTGTTTAAGGTTTCAAGGCCAATCTATAAAAATAAAAGGGTAATACACTAATTAGAATGGACGTCCTTCCAGACATCCTTCCAGACGAAGCTGGGGCTGGAGGGAAGCCACTCGGGTCCCGGGTGCCTGCTGGCAGCCAGAGGGAAGCCGCCTGGCTCCTGGGTGCTGGAGCAAAGCCAGTGCCGGCAGCCGGGGGAAGGAAGGCCTATTCTTGCACGAATTTTCGTGCATCAGGCCTCTAGTTGATATATAATATGTAGTAAAATTAAGTTTTCAAAAAACTTGACAAGAAATGCTTTAAATACATCATTTTAAAATACTGTGCCTCAATCTTTCACCAGGAATTCTAAGTGATATGGAGAATACAATATGCAAAACTATCTTTTAAAGATAAAAAGAAAGCAAAACTAATTTAGATCTTGTAAGTAAGTGGGACCATATTTTGCTCCTCTGAACAAAGAGGCAGTAAATTCTTTATTTGATTTGAGTTCTTCTCTGAGGTCAAAAAAGAAATCTAATCTCACAGTAATCTCCAGAAAATAATGTGTACATGAAGTTAAGCTGTCTTACAATGGCTGCATAACAAGCAATGGAGGACAAATTTCAACATGCCTTAAGGTTGAAAAGTTGTATTTATAGAACAAAGGAAACAAAAAACGGATTTCTGCAGATGTACTCAGTTTCATTTAGCTCAGTTTTGGGAGTCATTAATGGGAACAATGTAGTAAGCCACAAGTAAGGGTGCTATAGAAGTTCAATATAAGAAAATATATATAAGACTACTATAGTGAGGGCCTAAGCAGTGGTTATCAACCTTCTGGCCCTTTAAATACAGTTCCTCATGTTGTGACCCAACCATAAAATTATTTTCGTTGGAGGCAGCTGATTGATGTTTCTCTCTCTCTCATCAATGTTTCTAACTCTCTATCCCTCTCCCTTCCTCTCTATAAAAAAAATCAATAAAATATATTTTTTTAAAAAATTATTTTTGTTGCTACTTCATAACTGTAATGTTGTTACTGTTATGAATCGTAATGTAAATATCTGATATGCAGGATGGTCTTAGGCAACCCCTGTGAAAGGGTCGTTCGACCGCCAAAGGCGTCGCAACCCACAGGTTGAGAACCGCTGGCCTAGAGGAACATTTTAAAAATCGTCTGTCTTCCAACTATAAAAAATATTTTTATAACTGTTCATTATGTAAAAATACTTTCAAAAAACCACACACAGATAAAAAGGCCATAGGAAATAGATCACAACATCATTACTTCAATTATGTACTCCAACATTTTGGTATATTTCTTTTGTGTTTTTTTTAAAATCATGGTTGACCTCATTCTATACATATACTTTATACTCGGGGCTTTTTGCTTACTATATAATGGTAATTACCCCCCAGGCATAGGAAATACTTTGTAAAATGTAACTTATAATAGCTGTATAACAAACCATGTGGATATATCAGAGAAGGATTTCTGACAATACAAATCAAAAGTATTACAACCTTCACCCTGGCCAGGTGGCTCAGTTGGTTGGACTGTCCTCCTGTACACCACAAGGTTGGGGGTTTGATCCCCAGTCAGGGCACATACAGGAGGCAACTGATCAATCCTTCCTCTCTCTAAAAATAAATAAACATATCCTCAGCTGAGGATAAATAAAGTTTTACAACCTGCTACAGTACTTTACATTTTCTAAAACATGTTCACTTCAATCGTTACTCTTCGGAAATAAACATATTCTTTATCCTTAGGAGATAAACAGACAAGGCTTACTTCAGGAACTCCTCACTTAATGTCGTTGATAGGTTCTACAACTTTAAGCAAAACATCTATCTATAATAATAAAAGTGTAATATGCTTTTTTTTAAAAAAAAATATATTTTATTGATTTTTTACAGAGAAGAAGGGAGAGGGATAGAGAGCTAGAAACATCGATGAGAGAGAAACATCGATCAGCTGCCTCCTGCACGCCCCCCAGTGGGGATGCGCCAGCAACCAAGGTACATGCCCTTGACCGGAATCGAACCCGGGACCCTTGAGTCCGCAGGCCGACGCTCTATCCACTGAGCCGAACCGGTTCGGCTGTAATATGCTAATTAGACCGGACAGCCAAACAACCTTCCCGACGACCTTCCGGACGACGCTGGGGCTGCGAGGGCCGAACCCCTTGCACGAATATCGTGCATCAGGCCTCTAGTAGTATAATGAAACCAAATCTACTATAGGTTAAATGATATATAAAAGAGTTAAGTTCCTATGACATCTCATCATTATAATGACGCTGAATGAAGCAGCATTTTAGGACTTTCTGTATTTGCCTCATTTTTTAAATATACATATTTATTGATTTCAGAGAGGAAAGGAGAGGGAAAGAGAGATAGAAACATCAATGATGAGAGAGAATCACTGATCAGTGACTTCCTGCACACCTCACATTGGGGATTGAGCCTGAAACCCGGGCATGTGCCCTGACCAGGAATCAAACTGTGACCTCCTGGTTCATAGGTTGACGCTCAACCACTGAGCCATGCCAGCCGGGCTGTATTTGCCTCATTTTATAGAAAAGTAAAATTTTTTAAAAAACACATTAACCACAGGTAACACAGTAACAGTGAGCTCTGGTCAGAAATTCAAGTGTTCTGATGATCTGATTTAAAGAACATACATTCAACTGTAAAGGCCCCCCCGCTCCCCCAACCTTCAGGGGACAAAGGAGTGCTATAGCATAACATAAAAAGATTTATCCTGCTTCCACTATCCTTCACCTGGCCGCTTCTCTCAGGACTAACCTACTACGTTCAATACCAGGTGAAAGAGATACTTCATTTCCAGAGAACAATGTTTTGTTACAATACCTTCAGATTATGTATGATATCTATCCGCTTGTTCTGGCTGTCCTTAAAGTGAACTTGAACTCTGACAGGAAACTCACCCCAGCCTCTTCTGGTCAGGTGAAAAGGAGGCTCTCTATGGGAGAGCAGATATTAACACATTAATCTACGTGTAATCATTCTAGAGGAAAAGTTTTCTCATAATGGATAAGTTAGAAATTCACATCCTTCTGACAATCATTTACATTTCCTCATTTAAAGTTAAATCAGTATGCTGCATTATGCTAAAATGCTAAATTATAAAAGAAAAATTTAACTCAAACCTACATTAAATTTTCAATTATTGGATACTTAGAGCTAAGACACTTATCCTATATAATAAAAGGCTAACATGCAAATAGACTGTATGGCAGAACTGAACAACCGGTCGCTATGACATGCGCTGACCACCAGGGGGTGCACGCGTTGGCTGCGGCAGGATGGTGGAGCAGGTGAGTGGGGGCACCAGACCAAGGCAGGGCGCCGGTCGCTGTCATTGGGGCAAGCCTCTGGTGGCTACTGAAAATTCTTTGCTCCCGTGCACCGAGGTCCCGCCCAGCGCCTGCACCCGCAGCCAGCGCTGGAGCCGCTGCTCGTACCCACTGCCGGCGCCCGGCACCAGTCCAGATCACTCGGCGCCGTCAGTGGGTGCGAGTTGCGGCTGCCAGCCCCAATCGCCCAAGGGCTTCTCCACCTACCCCTGCTCCTGAGGGGTTATCGAGGCAGCAGCTGCCACTCGCACTCACTGACGGTGCCGGCCCTGCTCCCACCCACTGCTGGTGCCAGCCCCAATCACTCCGTGCTGTCAGCGGGTGCAAGCATGGCCAGCGCCGTCAGCATGTGGGAGTGGCGGCGGCGGGAGCAGGGTTGCCTCAGACAGGGGACAGGGGTAGGGGTGTGTGGCCACGGTGGGAGGGGGCCCGGGGGCACAGAGGATGGGCCAAAACCCACCCCTGTGCCCACTGCACCTCGCGGCCCACAGTTCCTTTCAAGGTGCACGAATTCGTGCACTGAGCCCCTAGTACCATATAATCCAATGTCATTATTTTCACAGATAAAGAACTAGAGTGACTGGATGGCCCAATCCGTGTGACTCAGTGGTTGAGCTTCGACCCATGAACCAGGAGGTCATGGTTCAATTCCCAGTCAGGGCACATGCTCGAACCCCAGTAAGGGGTGTGCAGGAGGCAGTCAATCAATGATTCCTTCTCATCATTAATGTTTCTATCTATCTCTCCCTCTCACTTCCTCTCTGAAATCAATAAAAATATATTTTAAAAAATAAAGTTTTTGATGAATGTCACAGTATGAGTCAGAATCCTTGATAGCTACTTGACAGACATAGGCTGAAATATTATGTTCGCTACCCCTGACACTCATTTATTCCTCCACTCTGGCAAAAACAAAATAAGTCATGAATACTCTATTTGAAAGTGACAATTTACTTGAATGTATCTGCTAAGAAGACTTAAAAGACATGTTCACAATATGATCTTCCCCAAATAGTGACTATGATTTCAGAGGACAGAGAGGAACTCATGAGAATGCTAATTGAACCAATGAATTTTCAGTCAGAACCTAATTTGTAAAGGAAAGAAAAAGAAAATTTGATGGAAAAAAAGACTGGCAAACTGTTAATAATTGGTTTTGGATCCATTAGGGTTCAATATACTCTGCTTTTGTATATGTTTGAAATTTTCCTTTCTCTGAAATCAATTAAAATATTAAATTTAAAAAAGATAGATGTAAGACTAGAAGTGAAGGAAGAAAAGGAGGGAGGGAGGGAGAGAGGGAGGGAGGGAGAGAGGGTGGGAGGAGGGAAGAAAGGATTTCAAGGGAGTGTTTTCAAATTAAATCACTTTTCTTCCACTTCAATAAATCTGCACTTCTTTAAACTCAAGTATGCTTACCTAACTTCCACAAGGTCATTTGGTTTATAGCTGGGATGAAGGAAGAACCAAACTTTCTTGACAAAATGATTAATGCTGGGTTCTCTACGAGACCCTCGGACATACACCATCCATTTGTGGGTTGATTGGTCATTTTCTTCTCTCTTATCGGGAGGTATATACCTAGAGGAAAAGAAAAAGAAACGGAATCCTTTTTTTCCTTCAAAAGCCTAATAAAACAATTAACACCTACTTAAAACAAGATTAAAAATAAATTACAAAAAGAAAACTGGGAAATTCACAAATATATGGAGATTAAATAGCATGCTACTGAACCATCCCTGGGTCAAAGAGGAAATCAAAAGAGAAATAAAAATATCATGAGACAACTGAAAATGGAAATACAATACACCAAAGCTTAAGGGATGCAGCAAAAGCAGTTCTAAGAAGGAAGTTTATACCAATAAAAGCCTACACTAAAAAAAAAAATCTATACTAATAAAAGCCTAGGTGGTCCTCGTGCCCTCGCGTGTGACGTCGTCACAAGATGGCCGCACACACAGTGGAGGCGGGGCCTGGAGGCCGCTCCGCGCAGTGAGGCCTGGAGGTCCCACAGCTCTGCGCTGCACGGAGGAGGTGTGTCGCAGCAGGGGAGGGCAGTTGTGGGTGACTGGGCCGGCAGTAGAGGGCAGATGGGGGCGATCAGGCTGGCAGGCAGAAGTGGTTAGGGGCAATCAGGCAGGCAAGCGGTTAGGATTCAGCAGTCCCAGATCATGAGAGGGATCCCAGATTGGAGAGGGTGCAGGCCAGGCTGAGGGACAACCCCCTCCCGTGCACAAATTTCGTGCACCAGGCCTCTAGTCTCAAATAAACAACCTAACTTTAAACCCTAAGGAACTAGAAAAAGTAAATCAAACTAAGCCGAAAGCTAGTAGAAGGAAGGAAATAATAAAGATCAGAGAAGACTAAAATGACAATAAAAGAGATAAAAGAATGAAAAAATGTTCAACGTCATTAATCATCAGAGAGAATCAAATTAAAACCACATGAGATATTACCTCACACCTGTCAGAATGGCTACCGTCAATAAATCAACAAACAAGTGCTGGGGAAGATGTGAAGAAAAGGGAACCCTCACGTACTGTTGTAGGAATACAGACTGGTACAGCCACTGTGAAAAACAGTATGAAGTTTCCTCAAAAAATTAAAAATGGAACTGCCTTTTGACCCAGCAACCCCACTTCTGGGCATATAGCCTAAGAATCCTGAAACACCAATTGAAAAGAATATATGCATGCCTACGTTCATAGCAGCATTATTTACAATAGTCAAGATTTGGAAACAGAACAAGTGCCCATCAGATAAGTGAATAAAAAAGCTGTGCTACCTGTACACAATGGAATACTACGCATCCATAAAAAAGGAAAGCTTACCTTTTGCAACTGCATGGATGAAACTGGAGATTATTATGCTAAGTAAAATAAGCCAATCAGAGAAAGACAAAGACCATATGATCTCACTTATATGTGGAATCTAATGAACAAAATTAACTGACAAAATAGAAGCAGAGGCATGGATACATGGAACAGTCTGATAGCTGTCAGAGGGGAGGGAAAGGGGGTACTGGATTAAAAAAAGGTGAAGGGATTAGCCCAGTGGTTCTCAACCTTCTGGCCCTTTAAATACAGTTCCTCATGTTGTGACCCAACCATAAAATTATTTTCGTTGCTACTTCCTAACTGTAATGTTTCTACTGTTATGAATCATAATGTAAATATCTGATATGCAGGATGGTCTTAGGCGACCCTTGTGAAAGGGTCGTTTGACGGCCAAAGGCGTCGCGACCCACAGGTTGAGAACCGCTGGATTAGCCAAAGAACATATACACACAACTCACAGACACAGATAACAGTGTGATGATGGCCAGAGGAAAAGGGGAGGTACGTAGGAGCTAGGTGGAGGTGGGCAAAGATGGGGAGGATGAGGACATTTGTAATAATGTCAACAACAAAAATAAAAAAGAAAAGATACAAGAAATTATGAGTTGGTTTTTTGAAAAGATAAACAATATAGAAAAACCTTTAGCTACAATTACCAAGAAAAAAAAGAGAGGACTCACATAAATAAAATTACATGTGAAAGAGGAGATGTTGCAACTGATATCACACAAGCACAATGAGATTATGAACAATTGTATGACCCGAAATTGGACAACCTAGAAGAAATGGATAAATTCCTACTTCAGCAAGACTGAATCATGAAGAAATAGAAAATTAGAACAGTACAATTATTAACTAGTAAGGAGATTGAATCAGTAATCAAAACACTCCCAACAAAGAAAATTCTAGGACCAGATGGCTTAAAGAGTAAATTCTACCAAATAGATAAATAAATTAATAAACAAACAAACAAACAAACAAATAAATAGAACTATCCCATTTGTGTGTGTTTATTTATATGCATATATATATGCACACACACACACACACACACACACACACAATGAAAACAGTGTATCAAAGCGGTATCTGCACTCCCATGTTCACTGCAGCATTATTTACAATAGCCAAGACAAGTAAACTTAAGTGTCCATAAACAGCTGAATAAACATGTGATTATAATGGAATATTATTCAACCATGAGACATGAAAGAGGGAGGCCTTCATTTGTGACAATATGGATGGACCTTGAGAGCATTATGCTAAGTGAAGTAAGTCAGAAAGAAAAAGACAAATACTGCATGGTATCACTTACATGTGGAATCTAAAAAAAATCAAACTCGCCCTAACCAGTTTGGTTCAGTGGATAAAGCATCAGCCTGCGGACTGAAGGGTCCCAGGTTTGATTCCGGTCAAGGGCATGTACCTTGGTTGCGGGCACATCCCCAGTTGGGGATGTGCAGGAGGCAGCTGATTAACGTTTCTCTCTCCTCGATGTTTCTAACTCTCTATTCCTCTCCCTTCCTCTTTGTAAAAAATCAATAATATATATTTTTTAAAAAAATCAAACTCATAGAAAGAATAGAAAAAAAGTTGCCAGGGCTGAGGGTTGGGGAAAATACAGAATGGCTGGTAAGAAGATACTAACTTTCAGCTATAACATTGTGAATATAGCTAATAATATTGTATTATATAACTGAAATTTGCCAAGAGAATAGAACTTAAATGTTCTCGCAATTATGTGAGGTCATGATAGGTGTGTGAACTAACTTGATAAGAGGAAAACTTTCAAAATGTATACATATATCAAATGATCATAATGTATACTTTAAATATCTTATATATTTGTCAATTACATCTTAATAAAGCTGAAATTTAAAAATTTTAAATTGTAGCAAAACGTAACTGCTGTATCACCTAACCAAAGTTTTTGCAGTTAATCCTTTTCTTTTAAACATTTTTTTTTTTTTTGGTCTAAGGGGCATTCCCCTAAAGCTTGTTTTGTTTTCCAAGTATCACTATGAAATTAAAAAAAATTAACCTTGCTCTTACTACCAAGTGGGTACATGATGTAGAAATAACTGGTGTTTTATTCTTGGGTTCGGGAACCTCTAGGACAGTGATGGCGAACCTTTTGAGCTCAGCGTGTCAGCATTTTGAAAAACCCTAACTTAACCCTGGTGCCGTGTCACATATAGAAATTTTTTGATATTTGCAACCATAGTAAAACAAAGACTTATATTTTTGATATTTATTTTATATACTTAAATGCCATTTAACAAGGAAAAATCAACCAAAAAAATGAGTTCGCATGTCACCTCTGACACGCGTGTCATAGGTTCGCCATCACTGCTCTAGGATTTGGGTTGATTTCACATAGGTTTAAGGGTGCTAGAACTTTGGACTCTTCAGGTTCCTACTCAATTGCAGTCAAGAACAAGCCATTCCCTTAAGGTCTGCCCATAGTAAAACCAGTATCTTTAGCCCTCCCTTATGCAGGTGATTTTATTTCACGAGGCCCCCTTATTACATTCTGTTAGAAAATATGGTCATAGCCTTCTATATGTCATCTATGCCTATAGTTATCCTTAGTGATGCAGTAGACCACGTGGCCTAATCTGGTTCTTCATCAGCAGTATTCTTGTTCAGTCTTGATTCTTTGCTCTTCCATATATAAAAAACAGCCTGTGGATTTCATGAATCCTGTCAGGATTTTAATCAGAATATCTACATATCAATTTGAAGAGAAGTGTTATCTTTATTATACTGAGCCTTTCTATCCATGAACATAGTATACTATTAAGTTCTTTTAAGTCTTTAAAGTTTTTATAATTCTTCATGAAAAGCTTACATGTCTCTTATTTACTGTATTTTTATTGCTATAGTAAATACATCTTTTAAAATCATGTTTTCTAATTTTGTGGCTGTCACACAGAAACAACTGATCTCTGTGTATTGATATTATATTCAACAACCTGGTGAAGTTCTCTCATTAACTCTAAAACTTTATCAAAAATTGCTTTATATTTTTCTATGTAGACAGTATCATCTGTTAATGACATTTTATTTATTTTTTAATCCATATACTTTTTAATTTTTTAAACAGGACTACATTAGTATCTCCAAGAGCAATACTGAACAGGAGTGGTGGCCCCAGACATCTCTTGTCTTGTTCCTAATCCTAAAGGGAAGACTTGAGTTCACCACTGAGTATAAAATATACTGTAGGTTTTTCAAAGATATTCTTTATCTGAGTTAACTAAATTCTAAGTCTGCCATGAAGACTTATCACAAATAGATGTTGAGTTTTGTCAAAGGTTGTTTCTGCATTTTTGATCAAGTATTTATCTTCTTTAATCTGTTAATGTGTTTATTATACTTATTGATTTCTAATGTTATTCCAAACTTGCATTTCTTGCTCACAATAACCATTTCTATATAGTTACTGAATTCAGTTTGCTATGGATTTTGTTCAGTATTTTTGTATCTATATTCATAAGTGTGAAGTCCTATAATTTCTCTTTTTTTTTAAAATATATTTTATTGATTTTTTACAGAGAGGAAGGGAGAGAGATAGAGAGCTAGAAACATCGATCAGCTGCCTCCTGCACATCTCCCACTGGGGATGTGCCCGCAACCAAGGTACATGCCCTTGACCGGAATCGAACCTGGGACCTTTCAGTCTGCAGGCCGATGCTCTATCCACTGAGACAAACCGGTTTCGGCTATAATTTCTCTTTTCTTATGAACTCCATGTCAAGCTTTATGAACAGAGTTAGGATATCCTCATAATGTAAGTTGATAAGTGTTGTCTCTTTGTTCCCAGAAGATTTTGTATACAACTAGAATTATCTATTCATGCTGCCTGTAAAGCAATCTAAGCCAAGTGGTGTGGTTTGGTTTTGTCAGAGGAATGTTTAAAAAAATCAATAATTAAATTTATTTAGTAGTTCTATGACTATTCCAAGTTTCCTTTGTCGCATCACTTTTAAGTTGTATTTTTCTAGGGATTCTTCAGTTCATCTAAATTTTCAAATACACTTATCTCTTTAACAGTGCAGCATCTGAAGTTATGTCTTTTTTCATTTCTAATATTTATTTGTATCTTTTTTCCTTACTTAATTTCACCATGTTTATGTATGCTGTTTATTTTTTTTCCTCTCTAAATTCTTTTTATTTATTTATTTTTTAAATATATTTCTTTATTGGTTTCAGAGAGGAAGGGAGGAGAAAGAGATAGAAACATTAATGATGAGAGAATCATCGATTGACTGCCTCTCGCACGCTCCCTACTGGGGACTGAGCCCGCAACCCAGGCATGTGCCCTTGGCCGAAATCGAACTTAGGACCCTTCAGTCCGCAGGCCGACGCTTTATCCACTGAGCCAAGTCGGCTAGGGCTCCTCTCTAAATTCTTTGCTTCCCCCACTGCATTATCTAATTAAGATGCTTAGTTCATTAATTTTAAGCTTTTTTTCTACTGTAGTCTTTTAAGACTTTAAATTTCCCTTTAACTATCCCTTTAGTGTTAGCCTACAACTTTTGACTTATTATTTAGTTCTGGTTATTTTAATGTAATTTTTTTTCATTGCCTTAATGAGTTGTTGTGAGTGTTTTGAATTTCCAGATATATTGGAGGTTTTTTTAGTTATCCTATTGTCATTGATTTCTAGCTTTACTGCACTAGTGGTTAGAAAAAATACAAGTCCTTTGTTGAAGCTTGCTTTATGGCTTACTATGTAGTCAATTTTCATAAATGTTCCTTGTATGCTTAAATTTTTTTCTCATTTTGTGTAATGTTCTATGTGTGTACTTTAGCTTTGTTAATTGATATTCCAACTTTTTATATTCATATAAGTAGTTTGCTGGATGTACCAATTACTGAGAGATGTATATAAAGTCAGTGGTAGTGCATTTGGTAATTTCTGCTTGTGGTTCTATCAATTTCAAGACTTTGTTATCATTTTAAGACATTTTAAGACTATGTTATCAAGTACACAGAAGCTAAGAATTTTTTTATCTTCTTGATGAAGAAAACCTTTTATCATCATATAATAAATCTTTACCTCTATGAATGCTTTTGGTCTTAAATTCTCTTTTGCCTGATATTAATATGTTACACTGGTTTTCTTTGGTTAGAATTTGCTAGTTATAATTTATCTATTTGCTTACTTTCTTTTCTTTTTGGGCCAAACTGAAGACATATGCTGGGAGCAAGATCCTATTTGCTTACTCTCAATCTTTCTGTATTTAGATGTCCCTGATAAATAACAGAGATCTGAATTTTAGGTTGTTTTATCTCAATATAAGAATTACTATATTCTAACTAGTTAAATCCATATGCATTTTTATTACTGTTTATACATTTAGATTTGTTATTACTAAATTATTTTATACTATTTGTCTTATTTTTTCTCTTCTTTATATCCCTCCTCCTGCCCCTGCTTGCCTTTTTCTAGAATCAGTTTTCCCCCTTTTTCTCATTCATTTTCCACCCCTCCCTTATTGTTAAAGTTTAAATTTCTCTATTCTTTTAGTTGTTATCTTAGATATTACAACAAGCACTCCTAACAAAACGTAGGGTAAATCAGTATTTTTACCCTCTTCCAGAATAAAGACCTTACAATTTTCATGCCAATCACTTCCTCTACTTAAAATTTATGATTAACCAGTATTTTAGTCTTAGCTTGTCTTAAAAAAACCCCAAAACCTACAAATTAGACATAATTGTTTGAAAATGTCAATGACTGTTTCTACCCAATCTTCTTGTGGCCCAGTGGATCTATTTAGATTTCTAGTTTAGACCTTTCCTGGGCTGATCTGTCCTGTACTATATATAAGACCCCAGCTCTAACACTTCACACAAACTATTTAGTTTCCTTAGCTGAATACATGCTAACTCTAAAATAATCTATAAAACAGAAATCTAATTGCCTAATCATATTTTATGGTTCCATTTAAATACTTTTACATGGATCATTAAGAATCTTTGTTTCTGCCCTGACCGGTTTGGCTCAGTGGATAGAGCGTCGGCCTGTGGACTGAGGGGTCCCAGGTTCGATTCTGGTCAGGGGCATGTACCTTGGTTGCGGGCACATCCCCAGTAGGGAGTGTGCAGGAAGCAGCTGAATCGATGTTTCTCTCTCATCGATGTTTCTAACTCTCTATACCTCTCCTCCCTTCCTCTCTGTAAAAAAATCAATAAAATATATTAAAAAAAAAAAAAAAAAAGAATCTTTGTTTCTAGTATCATGAGATTTTATGTACCTCTTGTTTGTTATTAATGATCCATTAATTGGGGCTTGAAAGATCCCCTCCTCGCCACCCCCCCCCCCCGTCTGATTTTCCTGCCAGATAATTATTGTAATTCCAAATCCTTTTTTAAATAATTGAATCTAATTATAATTTCCATAAATATATCAATTTATTCATCAAGCAAATATTTACTGAACTCCAACTAATATAAGGTACAAAATAAATAATACATAGTTCCTACCCAAAAGAGGTTCCAGTCTGATTTGGGGAAAATGTACGAAAACAGAAAATGATTATATGAGAAAAATGACAAGGAAAAACAGGGGAAATATACCTAACAGGGTTGGAAAAGGGCAAATAAGACTTTGTGAGGAAATAACAATCTTTCGCTATTTGAAGATTTATGATGTCTTTATTCATTCCTAGATACTTGGCAAAAATGTTCACATTCCCAAAAGATAGCATGTGATCATACTGTTAAAAGAGATAGATAGCTCTTTAACTTGGAGGAATTCTGTCTTCAAGAACTGGTCTGCAACCTTCTGCTATAAATTAGAAACATTTCAATTTGGCAACCAAATAAACATTTTTAGGAACTACCTACCTAAGTTAAAACTAGGTCAGAAGAAGTCAAAAGTTTCTCTAAACTTATCCACGCTTACATGCTTATTGAATACACCATTTGTGTAAAACCTCATGTCTTAGAAATTTTTACCAAGCATAATTTACTCTATGCCAAAGATTAGCAGACACACTAAGGCAGAGTTCTCAAGTCTCTGGATATTACTTTTCTTTTAAAACAACTAAGGGTTTGCCCAGCCAGCGTGGCTAAGTAGTTGAGCATCGACCCATGAACCAGGAGGTCAGTGTTTGATTCCAGGTCAGGGCACATGCACAGGTTGTGGGCTCAATCCCCAGTAGGGGGTATGCAGGAGGCAGCCAATCAATGATTCTCTCTCATCATTGCTGTTTCTATCTCTCTCTCCTTCTCCCTTCCTCTCTGAAGTCAATAAAAATATATTTTAAAACAAAACAACTAAGAGTTTGAAAAAAAGAATTCCTGAGCTCTCTGTCTATTATAATACTACAGGAGTATGCCAGAGTTCTATTAACATAAATAGATGACTGAAAATGAGACAATTTAACTGGATACTCACTTGGACACATTGCCCACTACTATTGTTTTCTTTACAAAAAGTCGTGAAGTCTCATCTCCTGTAAGATCAGCATTCCGCTGCTCTGTTTTATGGGAGCCAGTAATACTAGAGGTGTCCTGAAAGAAATCATAATTTTCATTTTCAATTTGGACAATTTTCAATAGGCAGAAACTGTAAAATCATACAAGGTATGAATAGAATAAATTGCAATTTTTTTTATTATAAAATTCTCCGGCTTTGTGGCACCTCAGAGCATAAAAGAATAATTTTACTCTAATTTTTGCATTAGTTGAGACAAAAAGTTTGTACACTATTATTTCCACGTGTGTGTGCTCAATGGGCATACACATATGCTTTGTCTATGCAAATAGGGAGTGGAAGGATACACAAGAAACTAAGTACAAAGATTACCTCTGGGAAATGGTAATGGGGAAAGAGCTCAATGAAATTTACTTTCTTTTCAACCTTCTATATATCAAAACATTTCCGATGAGAAGTAATTTAAACACAATAGTTCAAGTTTAATTATGGAGACAGACTGCCAGGGTTTAAATCCTGGTTTTTCCATTTAGTAGATGTGTAATCTTGGGTAATTATTTAACTTCTGTCTCAGTTTCCTCACCTATACAATAAGGATGATAATAGTTTTTACCTTACATGATTGCTTTGTACAATTCTTAGAAAAGTGCCTGAAACATAGTAAGTACTAAATATTTGTTACAAAAACATGAGTATGTATATTATATAAAAGATGATAAATTTCTAAATCCAATGATCAATACAACCTAAATTCTTTTTAATTATAAAAAGAAAAAATATACAGTATTTTCCCAGAAATAATACTGAAAAAGGCAAGTAAATCCAAACAGTAAGAGTTCCGATTTTTTAGTGGCATTATGATTGATTTTCTATTATTTTTTACTTTTCTGTAGTTTAAATTTTTCAGCAATGAATACATGAATTTATAATAAAAATGTCCAATTTCATTTTTATAAAAAATAAATCAAATCCTTGATGTCTGAGTTTGTGAAAAGCAACCCTGAAATGTTTTCTATCATTGAACACCTAGATGAGAAAAACCATCAGTCTTATTTCTTAAGCCAAATATTGCCCTGGCCGGTGTGGCTCAGTAAGTAGGCATTGCCCCTGTACCAAAAGGTTGCTGGTTTGATTCCTGGCCAGGGCTGTTTCACTGTCACATCAATGTTTCTCTCTCTCTCTCCTTCTCCCTTTTTCTCTCTCAAAAAGTTTTTTTTTTTTAAATAAAAATTATTATAAAAATAAATGAAGCCAAATATTATACCAACGAGTTCAGAGTATCTTGAGATGGCAACTCCATAAACTGGCAGGATCAAAGAGCAATAAATGGTTTTCAATTCTATTTATCATTTGTCAAATTTCCTCCAGTTATCAAAGTATCTTAGAATATCAAGTTTCACAGAGGAAAATGCGAAAGAATCACTGCTCTTGCAAATAAACATGACAGAGTGGAAAGACCTTGGGCAAGGTCACAGCATTGCCAACTCCTCAAATTTCTTTCATATCCATGTGAATGGCACTAGGAGTGATGCCATATGCAGGGGTACTGAATTTTAAAATCAGAAAGACATAGGTTTAGCCCTAGCTGGTTTGGCTCAGTGGATAGTGTGTCAACCTGCAGATTAAAGGGTCCCAAATTCAATTCCAGTCATGGGCACATGCCTCGGTTGCAGGCTCGATCCCTGGCCCTGATGGGGGCATGTGTGAGAGGCAGCTTATTGATGTGTCTCTCTCCCTCCTTTCCACTTTCTCTGAAAATCAATGGAAAAATGCCCTTGGGTGAGGAGTAACAAAAACAACAACAACAAAAAGGAAAGACATAGGTTTAGCTCTCAGTTCTGATACTTGTGGACACATATAACTTGAATCTCATTGAGACTCAGTTTCCCCATCTCTAAAAGAAATATAATTAACTTATTTCCCAGGGTTCCTATAAAATAGGTTACATGAAATAACATGTACATACTCTTAATAAATATAGTTCCCTTTTCCTTTGGTTCCCTCCCGTCCATCCAACTATACCCTTCCAGTATTTCGACTTGGTCTCTGTTCCATGTTGTTTGAGAGTCTTTCCTCTATATCCATATTGCTGTTATTGTCTTTGTCAGACAAGAAGTCATTGTGTTGAGATAAAGAATCACTTTCAGAATGATTGGCTGATGGAGTTTCTGATCTCTGATTGGCAGGAGATGATGACCTAGATGGTGATTCCAAAAATTTCTTGATAGCAGGATGATTAAAAACCATTGTATCACACGTCTTTGATCCCTGCAAAAGTGAAAGCAATCAAAATAAACTTTAATCAAATTCATCAAAAGTAGGCAAAATTATCTACTTTAAGATCATGCTTAAAATCTTTCAAAATCTCTCCAAACCCATAAAATAAAGTCTTAATTCCTTAACATGGTCTGAACCACCAGAACAAGAAAGTGATAAGTAACTATGCAAAGATCCTAACACCAAAGGCTAAAGATACAAGTCCTCTTTAGCCTTTAGTATTAGGTAAATGAAAAATAAAGGTAAATACATAGTAACATATGGAAAGCAAAATTGGACTTTAAAAAAATATGTTTCAGTCAGAGCATTGTCCTCATAATGCCAAGGTTGCAGGTTTGATCCCCAGTCAGAGCACATACAAGAAGCAACCAATGAATGTAAAAAAATGGAACAACAAATTGATGTTTCTCTCTCTCTCTCTCTCTCATCAATAAAAATAAAAAAAAATAAGTTCACATCGCTTTACATAGATAGAACAGCTCTGAATAAAACATTCCTGTAAGGAATATAAAAATATATGCATATGTTAAATAGTTCCCACGTAGGAGAAAAATGTAATATACAATGCTTTAAAATTATTAATACTGACATAAACTTTGCCCTCAGTTCAGTACTGAAGCCTAGGGTATTTTTCTGTATCTCATTAACCTGCATACAAAATACAGTGTGTTCTATTACGTAGTATGACACACTGTGCTACGTTCCTAGGAAGCCCAGCTTTTAAAACTTGTGCCATTCATACTGAAATATACAGATCTTGTAACATAGAAACCCACACATGAAAACTATATGTTCATGTTGACCAATTTCACTCCAATCAATTTAATAAATAAAATTAAAAAACAAAAAAAACCTTGTGCTAGTAAAATAATTGTTTTAGAAAGAAAAAGGAGCCAGAGACTTGTGTTTCAGAATCAAAGCAACAAAGCTGTTGAATTTCAATAATAAAGGTATCTTTTAGAGCTATAAATATATTTTTTACAACAAACTAAAAATTATTATAACTAAATAACATTGAATATATCCTAATCAGAATACAAGATAAAAATCATTACATTTCTGGACCACAAAATAGCACAACTCAAAACTGCTAATGATGAAAAAAGAAAGAAAAAAGGGAACAAAATATTAAATGAATAATCAGCTCTTCAGAATAGCTACAGTCCTACGTCATACAACCCTTAGATCATGATGTCCATTTTGTTGAATCCAACAGCAAGCCACATAACAAATAACATCAGAATCTACTCTGGGTTAAACAGTGTCTCCAAAAATTCATGTCCACCCTAAACCTATGAATGTGACTTTATTTGGAAATAGGGTCTTTGCAGATGTAATCAAGTTCAGATGAAGTCATTTGGGTGAAGGTAGGCCCTAATCCAATTAAAAGTGCTCTTTTTTGAGGGAAATTTGGCCTGGCGTGGGTGGCTCAGTTGTTTGATCGCCGTCCCATGCACCAAAAAGTCACCAGTTTGATTCCCGGCCAGAGAACATACCCGGGTTCTGGGCTCAATCCCCCGTAGGGGTGGTGCAGGAGGTAGCGGGTCAATGTTTCTCTCCCACTTCGAAGTTTCTCTCTCTCCCTCCCTCTCTCACTAAAATCAACAAAAACATATTTCTTTTTTTTAAAAAGGGGGAAACTTGAACATAGAGAGAAAGAGAAGATATGCAGAGGGAAAACATCCATGTGAAGACAGAGGCAGAAATTAGAGTGATGCAGCTACAAACCAAGAACACCAAGGATTGCCAGCAACCACTAGAAGCTAGGACAAGGCTAGAAGATTCTTCCTAAGAGTCTTCAGAGAGAGCATGTGCCAGCCAACACCTTGATTTTGGACTGCTGGGCTCCAGAATCATAACTTCCTGTTGTTTAAAGCCAACCAAGCTTGTAGTAATTTGTTATGATTTGTTAGCTGCAGAAAAGTGGTTCAGACTCTAATGTTTTATGGAAACTCCTGCAACAGAAGAGACAACTGTCTACCACCTAAAATTAAATTCGAATAATACTCCAGATTTCTCTAAGACAACAACAGGAGTATCACCAATACCAGGCACCCTAAAGCTCCATGGGATGACATGAACGCCTAAATATGAAAGGTACCTCTTATCTATAAAAACCATAGGAAACGATGCAAAGCAGTACGCCATCATACCTCCCGCCATTCTCACAGAGCCAGTACTGTCCAAAAGAAGAATTACCTAACTCTAATTGAAAAAAACTTAAGATAAAAAATATTTAAGAGTGAACAACAAATTTATGCTGAAATTATCAAAATGTCAAACCATCTGTCCTGTTGCCTTCAATCCTATCCACATCCTTTAGAACTGGAGTGATCTAGTAGCAATCACAGTAACCAAATAATTACACTCTTATCACCAACAGCAGGACAACCTGATTATTATATCTCCTGAAGTGAAACAACATGAGGTATATAGCATCACCTATGAAGCATTATTGCCAAAAAGATTTAACCTTAAAATAATCCAGTATTTAGGTTTGACTTTCAGTTTACAGGAAAAATAGAGGGAATGAAGGAATAAACAAGAATAAAAATAAATTAAAAATATGGAACATTCTACAAGATAAATGTCCTGGTCTCTTAAAATAAGTCAATATTCTAGGGGAAAAATAGGTGGGAGAACCAGTCTAGATAAAATTAATCTAGAGAAACAAAATAGCCAAATGTAGCTATGAACCTTGATTAGATCCTTGTTGTGTTTAAAAAAAAAAACAACCACCACCACCACCACAAACCAGCTTTAAAAGATATTTTGGGGACAACTAGGAAAATTTTTGAATATGGACTGGTTAACAGATAATAGTAGTGAATCATTCTCTTAGGTATTGTGACTACATAGAAGAATGGCCGTTAGGAAATATGTAATTAAATATTTAGAGGTGAAGTGTCATGATGCCTGAAACTTATTTTCAAATGCTTCAGAGAAAAATAAAACAGATAAAACAAATATGGCAAAAATGTTAAAACTGTTCATTCTAAGTGATGCATTAAGAGGTGCTTATTTAACTTTCTCTGCATATTTGAAATTTTTCATAAAAAGTAAGGGGGGATGGAAATCAGGGCTTCCTGAACAGGGCAAATCTACTGAAACAAAAAAATCCCATTCATTAGATAAAAGGTCAAAAAAAAAAAAATCAACCTACAACTTACTCCAAAGCCAACCATAATCAAATGAAGAGAAAGAAAGCAAGTTATTTTTGTATCTGCAAAGCCTAACAACACTGCTAAATATTAGTAGGAAAGGGATTAATTAAAAAGAAAAAAATGTTACTTAGGATTATTGACAACGTAGAGAGGTACGATTAAAGGACGAATAAAGGATTATGGGTGAACACAATAAGTTTACGTACATTCCCAGGAAAGTAGGCTAGGCTTCTTGAATTCTAAAGGTCAATATAAGAAATGTTTCAAAGGCAGGAATTCCACATCAACACCACTAATTTCCCCTTCACACAACCAATATGGGTGGCCAGAAATGACTACATATGAGGAAAAGTTACCTCAGAAACTTTTAGAAGTCCTGCAGAAGCATAGTAGTTTGCGACAATGCAGGCACGAAGTTTATCCATCATCCTTCTTGCCTCAATCAGTCGCTAAAAACAAATGTCAACTCATTACTTTAAAAAATAGAAATGACAGGACGGATATATAAATAATTCATAAAATAAGAAATGCAAATGACCAACAAAAGCTCGACCTCTCTAATAATCAAAGACAAATAAAAATGACCATTTCCCACCAATCAGGTTGGCAAAAGACCTAAAAGAATGACAAAAACCAATGTTTTTGCAAGAGTATACAGACATATTAATATGTATATTTATGTGTACACATGCATTGTCATTGAAACATCCACAAAGATTTGAGCACAAGAGCAAAGAGGAATTATTTTTGGGATGAAATTTCAGGTAAATTTTTTTATCTTTTCCTGTAATTTCATTAATTAAAAAAAAGGGAGGGGGCATGTCTTTTTTCCAAAAATGAGAAAGCTCTTTAAAAAAAAAAAAAAAAAAAAGCAAAGGGAAAAAACAAACTATGATTCTATCTCAAGAGATTTTTTTTCAAGTCATCATGTGTAGATTTTTTTCAATAGCTTTGTGTGCTTTTTTAATTTGTCATCATTATACCTGGTCAATGACTTCAATTTCATGTTCCTTATTCTTCATTTCAAGTGCAAATTGCTCCTTGATAATAGTCTCTATCTTCTGCACAGCAGCATCTCGAGCTACACAAAGAACATAAAATAATCCATGGTCTAATTAATCAGTGGTTGTCTTAAGTCAGCAAGCAAAAAAGAAACCCAGGAAAATAGTAACTCTGAAGTGGAGAAACCTAGTGGCCATCATCTTAACCAATGACGAAAAGTGAACATCACTAATACTGGGGCAAACTGACGTCTGTGTTTTCTGATAGGATGCATTGAGAAGACTATATCACTCAGCCAAAAAGCTGAATCTAGTTACAGGGACAACAAACAAACCTAAACTAAAAGACATTCTATAAAATAACTGGCCTATATAATTCAAACATCACTATTTGAGGAGATTAAAAGAGACTAAAGAGATATGACAACTAAATGCACTGTGTGATCCTGGACTGGTTCCCAGAGAGGGAAAAATAGTTACTGTGGTTGAAAAGGGGCCACATGATAACCTGACAAGGTTAGGGAAGGCCTGCAGGATGGCCTTGCAAGCTCAGGGACTTAAAGTAACCACGTCGGATGGTCTGAAATTAAAAAAACTTTAACTAAAAGCAGTTTATGGCAGGTAGTCATGTCCCAGACTAGAATCTTCCCGACAAAAGTCAATGCATCTTCGATAACATTCCTTTGGAATGTCAGGGTAACTCCCCCTTTTTCCAGACCCCTCAGAGCACCAGGGCGGAGACCATAAAGCCTCTCATTATTTTATCATGTAAACTGTGGACTGTTAACTATCTTGTACCCACCTATGTAAAAGATATATGTGTCTATTATTTTACTTTTCACCCAAACCCAAAGGCTTCTCCACTTTGCTTTCTCCCATCTCCCTAGTCTATCACCAATGGATTTTATGTAACTTACTTGTCTTCTCTTTTGATTATAATGTATAAAATAAGGTGCAAAACTGCCATTCTCTGGAGCATTATTTCAATCTGTTGAGATTTTGCTTCCCAGCAACTGTTGACAGTTTGGCTCAAGTAAACTCACAAAACTTCTCTATAGGTTTGAATATTTCTTATGTTGACATTATAAAACACAATACTGGGATAACTGGTAAAACTTGAATAGGGACCACAGATTAGATAATGTACTGGATAAATGTTAAAATTTCCTGCTTTTGATAACTGTACTGTGGTTACATAAGAGAATGTCCTTAGGAGTGTTTACATGTGTCCAATTTATTTCCCAATGATTTAGAAAGAATGATGTGTGCAGGTACCTGTGTGCATGTATACACATGCATGTGTGTGTGTGTGTGTGTGTGTGTGTGTGTGCGCGCGCGTGCTCGCACTGGAGGTGAGGGAGAATAATCAACCAAAGGAGGCAAAATGTAAACAACTGGTAATTAATCTTAATTTTAAAAATATGGATAATTCTTGAAATTTTCCTGTTTGAAATTACATCAAAATAAAATTACCAAAATATAAAAAAAAAAAACCATGAAGATTTTGAGAGAAATATTTGGTGACTTAGGAGAAAGAAGTAAAGAATTAGCTAGAGCAGTAACATGAGGGCAGTTTATAACAACACAGGAAGTTTCCTTCTGTAGAGAAGGATCTAGCAAGCAATTCATCAGTTTCTGACCACAACTACCCAAAAGAATGAGTAAAGAAAATTCAAAAGGAAAGAAAATGCCTCTGAAGGTGATACAATTTAGATGATGACTACTCAAAGTAATATGCAACTCAAAGAGTTAAAAATATCAGAATATAAAATGTGGCTTGGTAATTTTTAAAAATAGAAGAGCCAAATAACCACTTGAACAACCTGGGATTTTGCAAAACAACCCTGAATTTGTAAGATGATAAAAAAAATCCCCGCCGAAACCGGTTTGGCTCAGTGGATAGAGCGTCAGCCTGCGGACTGAAAGGTCCCAGGTTCGATTCCGGTCAAGGGCATGTACCTTGGTTGCGGGCATATCCCCAGTAGGAGGTGTGCAGGAGGCAGCTGATCGATGTTTCTAACTCTCTATCTCTCTCCCTTCCTCTCTGTAAAAAATCAATAAAATATATTAAAAAAAAAAAAACTAATCTTATAAAAAAAAAAATCCCCGTGCTTTGGAGTATATGAAAAATTACAGAGAAAATTTGGACCCTGTGATTACCCATGTCACTTTCTCCCCATAAAATTGGCAATTTAAAACTAGTAATGATATAAACATTCTTATAGATGTCTGCATAAAGGCAAATGACCAATTTTTCTCATATTTGAGGTAAAGAATATTTTCTAGTATTACTGTATATATCCTTTATACAAACCTTGTGTACAGAAACCAGCAGAGACTGAAAGTCTCCCTAGAGACAATGATCACTGTATGCTATTTTATTATAAGCTCCTCAAAAAGAAACTCTTCTAAATGATCTCTTTCATGGAATAAGTAAAAACAACAACAAACAAAATAAAATACAGGCAAAGGAAGCATCCTACCAAATCTACTTTGAGAAAATTCTGAAAAATAAAATATGATTGGGAATTAGGTAGGATATGAACATCAAGAGGAAGAATAGCAAATTGTGACTCAATAACAAAAAAGTATCCCTGCTCAGGCTCAGTGCTTGGGAATTTGAACTAAATTGAAATTATGACGTTTACTAAAACATTCAGTTTTCCCTATTCTCATTTTTATTTTTAAAAAGTTATGTTGCCCAGCTGGTGTGGCTCAGTGGTTGAGTGTCGACCTATGAACCAGGAAGGAGGTCACGGTTCAATTCCTGGTCAGGGCATATACCCAGGTTGCAGGCTCGATCCCAAGTATGGGGTGTGCAGGAGGCAGGCAATTGATGATTCTCTCTCATCATTGATGTTTCTATCTCTCTCTCCCTCTCCCTCCCTCTCTGAAATCAATAAAAATATATTTTAAAAAAAGTTATGTCATGTGATACATTTGAGTTGCATGATACTTTCACATTTATTTTGTTTGTTTCTGAAAGGAAACAACATTTCCTTGTAAATAAAATTACTACTGAATGGGGGGGTTGCAGTGAAATGTTTTCATTATTTGGAATTAGATTTGGTAATTTTTGCTCTACAAAGACTTTGGTGGAGGATACAGTATGACTTGACTGCACTTACAGAGACAGGAATTTACTTTACTACTTAAACTCTAAGGGTCTTCATCTTTGTTGGAGCTGCAACACCTTTTTATGACTTTGATGCCTTCTTTACTCAGCTATAAGTATTAACTTACATAGATTTATCATTTAAATGAACAATAATAAATTTCAGTAGTAATTTGTTTTGAAAACTCAAAATTTAGCTCCATTTTTAAAAATAGCTTAAAACATTCTGGGTAATTACAGACACTTAATTGATGATCTACTTTTCAACTCAAAACTACTAATTATATGATCTTGAGCAAGTAATTTAATGCTCTTGAGCCTGAACTACTATCCTCTATGTGCAGAGGTAAACTAGATCAATGTTTCCCAAATTTCCATCATTCATATACCACCTTCAAGATACCTACCAGATCTGAGAACCACGTGAAACAGATAATTAAATAATACTTTTAAATAATTTTAGCCTTATCCTTAGCAACAGTAGTCACGCAACTACAAGTCTCATGAGACCATCGTTTTCTATAGATATTAAAATAATATATAACTATTAATATAAAAAAACCTGAATCCATGTACCACCTATAATCATCTCACATGACACCACAGTGTAGTACACATAGCTTATATAAGACTTTATGATTACACCTAACATATAATAATGACTAAAACTTATAGCCTGTCTCATTACTGATGCTTCACAGTCTACCTGATTGTTCCTATCTTTTATGCCACTCATGGTGTGTTACTATTAAACAGAGCACTTAGCTATCCCTCTCATAAGCCTCTTCAAATTATATACAACAGTGGAAATGCATTTCATTTTAGCATGTGCCAACAAAAAAAACCACAATTTCCTAAGATAGCTGAATTTCTACCTGAATTCTCAATTGCTTTATGCCGCTTATTTGGAAGAGCCACAGATACATCCTCATAATCAGGGTCAGTTTCTTTAATTGTTCGCTTGATTCCAGACATGATGACATCCGTTCTTCACTGTGAAGCAATAATAAATTAATTCATTAATAACACAGCTGGGTACTAGTACTTATAAATATATGTGTACACACATACAAAGAGAATAAATACTGACACTTAAAAGTCAGTGTAAATATGTACATATCCCTCTCAACCCCAAGACACAACTTCAAAAGTTTACTAAAAAAATCATCATGCTCATCATCATCTGTTACAAAGCATGGATTTCCTTCCAAGAGAAAATCCTTTAACAAGGCAGCACACTGTTCAGACTTTTTAAAGGGCCAGGCTTTCACAGAAGGACCATCGTAAGGAAAAGAAAGAAAAGGAAAAAAAATAGACTTGAATGAAAACATGGTAGGCCACACATTATCTTGAAATTCATAATGCATCAAGCATATTACAAAATATGAGCAATATAGTTAGTCTCAATAAAAAATTTATTATATAAATCCTCTCTCTGGTACTTACACAATATCTACTACAGAACAGGTACTCAATAAATATTGTTACTGATAGTTTATTATTATTCATAATAAACTGTATAGACTTAAAGTCCAATAAATCTTCTAGATTGCATTGTCCTGATACCTGAGCCACTACTCACACATGGCTATTTAAAGTTAATTAAAATTAAATAAAATTTAGAATTCAGTTTTGTTCCACATTTCAATATTTCACATTTCAGAACTAGCTACATTTCACGTGCTCAATAGTCATCAGTGGCTAGTAGCTACTACTATAAGCAAAGACATAGAAGAATTCTATCATTGCAAAAAGTTCTACTAGACACTGCTCCTCTTCCAAACTGTGTTTCACTGAGCATTTATTAACATTTCATAAGTCATTGTAGGATATGCTGTCCAGACCAGCACTATCCAAAATAAATATGTGAGCCACAAACAAATTTAGTATCTTCTAGCAGCCTTATTTATTTATTTGAGAGAGAGAGAGAGAGAGAGAGAGAGAGAGATTTGCTGTCCCACCCATTGATGCATTCATTGGTTTATTAGCCAGGGACTGAACCCACAACCTTGATGCATCAGGATGATGCTCTAACCAACTAAGCAAACCAGCCAGGGCCTAACAGCCACATTTAAAAGAGGGAAAATCCTATATAATAAAAGGGTAATATGCAAATTGACCCCAACAGCAGAACGACTGGGAATGGCTGGTCACTATGACACACACTGACCACCAGGGGGCAGATGCTCAATGCAGGAGCTGCCCCCTGGTGGTCAGTGTGCTCCCACAGGGGGAGCTCTACTCAGCCACAAGCCAGGCTGACGGCTGCCAGCACAGCGGTGGTGGTGGGAGCCTCTCCCGCCTTCTCAGCAGCACTAAGGATGTCCGACTGCAGCTTAGGTCTGCTCCCTGCTGGTAAGTGGATATCCCCTGAGGGCTGCCGGGCTGCCAGAGGGATGTCTGACTGCCAGCTTGGGCCCGGTCCCCCAGGGAGCAGGCCTAAGCCAGCAGGTGGACATCCTCGAGGGGTCCCAGACTGCAAGAGGGCATAGGCTGGGCTGAGGGACCCCCCCGAGTGCACAAATTTTTGTGCACCAGGCCTCTAGTAATTTTAATAATGTATTTCATTCAACCAATATACCCAAAATATTATCACTCCAGTAATGTAATCAATATAAACAAATTAGCAATAAGATACTTTTTACATTCTTATCTTTGTACTAAGTCTTTAAAATCCAGTGTGTATTTTAAACTGAGAGCACATCTCGATTTAGAGTAGCCACATTTCAAAGGTTCAATAACCACCCATGGCAAGTGGCTCCTGCAGACAGCTTCTACTGACATACAAAAAAAGAAACTGCTCCAGGGTGGTTACATGAGTTGCCCCTTAACATTAATCTATGACATAAAAAAAGACAAGAAGAGTTCTCTGATTTCCAAACCTCTGCTCTATCACTAACAGAGATTATGTACCTAACCAAAGACAAAAATACAATGAGTATTTATTGAGGTAATACAAAGTTTTAAAATAAAATTAATGAAGATGAAATGTTAACTCAAAAATATTTATTTTTTTATTCACTCAAAGTTAACAGAAATAACAATTTAAATGCCTCTTGCCCGGCTGGGTGGCTCCGTTTGGAGCATGTCCAATACACCAAAAAAGTGGGTTCAATTCCTGGTCAGGGCACATACCTAGGTAGCAGGTTCAATACCGGGTGGGGGAGTGTACAGGAGGCAATGGATCTATGTTTCTTTCCCATCTCTCTCTCTCTCTTCTCTCTCTCTCTCTCTCTTATCAATAAACATATCCTCAGGTGAGAATTTTAAAAAAAATTTATTCTTTAAAAAAAAAAAGAAGTCTCTTTCACCCATCCCAGAGACAGACTCACTTGATTCAGGTGTCAGGCTCATGTACTGATATATGTATATGTAAATCCTGGATTTAAGAGAACATTTTCCCTATAACTGTTATCGTGCATAATAGCCCTAAGCTTTAAAATGTTCTAAAAACTTCAGTGTTAATAAACATATTTAATCAAGCCATTTAATGTTATTCACCATCATTACCTAACCTGCTCTAATTCAGAATATAAATATGTCTTTATTTTTATAGAGACCCTGAATCTATTATTTTCTGTTTTTAGAGCTTATAAAAAGTGAGAGTAAAGTCTTATTCTTTTCTTTTAGCCTTCTCCATTTGGTCTGCAACTAGTTTTAGACAAACTGTCACTAAGAATTTCTAGTGAAATTCTGGGACAGTTATATGAAAAATACATTCTTTTTTTTTTTTTTAATGTATTTTATTGATTTTTTACAGAGAGGAAGGGAGAGGGATAGAGAGTTAGAAACATCGATGAGAGAGAAACATCGACCAGCCGCCTCCTGCACACCTCCCACTGGGGATGTGCCCGCAACCAAGGTACATGCCCTTGACTGGAACCGAACCCGGGACCTCTCAGTCCGCAGGCCGATGCTCTATCCATTGAGCCAAACCGGTTTTGGCAAGAATACATTCTTTAAAAAAATCAATAAACCTCATTCCTTTTTACTTAATGCAAATAAGAAAAAAAAATAACACTATTACTCTCAGACAAATCTAAAATCGGAGGCAGAGACAACCCAGAAGATCTCCAAATGTTTTTCTGCGTCATACCATTTCCTTAGAGACCACCTGTCTTCCAGTTTTCCAAGAGTCTTATGGACTACCTGTGAAGATGAGTGAATCCAGTATCATCTTCACTAACCCATTCCATGGAGCTCATAATCTGCATATTCTCTTCCCACCACCCCTCAAGTAATCTCAAGATTACAGTGGTTATTCCTCAGAAAGGTTGGGGTTTCTTGAAGAAAACAGTACTTTATTTTACCCTCACTTAAGGAATGAAGCAAAAGCTCTCTTTTAACTTTTGCTCTGAAGCAGGGGAAATAGAAGAGGAAAAAGGGAAGGATTTGGTAGTGGAGGTGTTGGGTAAGTAAGGAAGAAACCACCAGTGAGTTAACTTGTTTAGCCAAGGTAATTCCTATTTCACGCAGCCCTTGTAAGCAACCTTCGCCTGCCATCTTTGGGCATAGACTTGAGCTTCCGATAAACATTATCGGAAGATTTACGAGTGTATTGACCAGCTATCTAATAATAGACAAACATGGTAATTGACCGTACCTTCGCCATGCCTCCCATTGGCTAATCAGCGTGATATGCAAATTAACCGCCAACAAAGATGGCAGCTAATTTGCATACTGCAGGCAGGGCGGGTCAGCGCCATCCCGCCTGCCCCGCCGCCATCCGGGCCTGCTATTTGCGACCCGGAGCGGCGGGCGTCCCATGTGCGACCTGACCCGGGGCAGCCGGGCGGGGCAGCAGCGATCCACCGGCCCACCCAGGCGTCCCGTGTGCAACCCGACCCGGGGCAGCCGGGCGGGGCAGCAGCAATCCACCGGCTCGCCCAGGCGTCCTGTGTGCAACCCAACCCGGGGCGGGACAGCGTGGCTCCTCTGTCACCCCAGCTTCCTCATCACAGCTCCCTTGGGGGCCTAAGCCTTTAGTCGGGCATTCCCCGAGGGCTCCCTGGCTGCCAGAAGGATGTCTGACTGCAAGCTTAGGCCTGATCCCCCGGGGAGTGGGCCTAAGTCGACAGGTGGACATCCCCTAGGGGGTCCTGGACTGCAAATGGGCGCAGGCCGGGCTGAGGTACCCCCCCCCCCCCGAGTGCACAAATTTTTGTGCACTGGGCCTCTAGTGTTTAAATAAATCAGGTCTGCTTCAGTCTAGCAAGAATACTAAAGTATACACATGCTGCATTCAAGTATATGCTAGCTAAGGCTAGGCACGTATGCTGAAGCATGCTATCATCATGATGTAATAAATAAGCAAATGGAATGTGTAACAAACCACGGCAATATGAATTTTTGGATTCTTCTTGTCTGGTTTCAAGATTTATGAAAAGGAAATGTGAACAGTTGTTAGATATTTTCAGATTCAACGCTGAAACAAAATGTCTTACTAATCCTTTTTAGGTTTTAAATAAAATGAAATTAAAAAGAATACTGAAATGTTACTGTGAACTGTTAAAAAAATGTTACTGTTTATAATTTGTCTGTGAGAAAGGACTTTCTCCATACCATGGAGTCAAATACTAATACAGAAATATATGTAATACTCATTCCTGTAATTTAAAATTTTCATCTCATTGAAACAGCCTCATTATAAACAGTAAATGTTATCCAGTTACCCTTAAAAAAATACACATTTTTCCCATGTATAATATAAAAAAGCAAAACTAGCCTGTATCACACCTATTCAAATAACATAAACTAGTCTGGACTTTTAAAAAAGATTGAAGACCAAAACCTTTTAATATTCTATATTTTGAAATAAACTCCAAGAGAAAAATAATTTTTAAAAATTATATAATTAAAAACATAAAAATTAGGTAATACATAGTCACTAGATATTCTTAGTAAAAAGTTTTAGTTCTCATGTCAGAGAAAACCTAGAACCCCTAGAATTTAGTCCTAGAACCCTGTCTTGCAGACATAGCTTAAAAGGTGGCCAATTCTTAGGGGAAGGAGGTCCTTGAAAAATTTGCTATGTACTATGTGAGGTATCTTCTCAATATAAAATTCTATGATCGCCCGGTTGGTGTGGCTCAGTGGTTGAGCCAGGAGGTCAGGGTTTGATTCCCAGTCAGGGTAAATGCCAGGGTTGCAGGCTCGATCCCCAGTAGGGGGCATA